CCCCAACAAAATGGCTTTGTGGAACGTAAACATCGACATCTTCTTGATCTTGCAAGAGCTTTACGTTTTCAAGCAAACTTGCCTCTTTCTTTTTGGGGTGAATGCATTGTTACTGCTGCGTATCTTATAAACAAACTTCCAACTTCAACTCTTCGATATAAATCTCTTCATCATATTGTACTTGGATCCCTTCCCTCATACTCCTCACTACGTGTTTTTGGTTGTTTATGTTTTGCTAAAAATATGAACATTTAACATAAATTTGACGAGCGATCCAAACCTGGTATATTCATTGATTATCCATTTGGCCAAAAAGGATATCGCATATATGACTTACAATCCCAACAAATCTATGTTTCTCGCGATGTCCAATTTCATGAAGCTATTTTTCCATTTCACGATGTTTCATCTTCATCATTTCTTGACGAAATCCGCATTAATACTCCTGTTAATGCAAATGACTTACTTGATCCAGCAACTACAATTCCAATCTGTCCTAATATCTCTTCAGCCAATAATCAAGTTGCAAATTCAAATGACACAACAGTGACTATTTCCACATCCAATCCTCAGGATGATAACTCTACGAATTCTTAACTCCTTTCTGTAGATGCTCCATCAAATGATTTTCCTTCTGTAGAAATGAGTCTCCCTACTACTAATCATCCTCAACATCCTCGTCGTCCATCACATCATCTCCAGGACTACATTTGTAATCATATTAAATCAACAACAAAATTTTCTTTGGCAAATTATTTATCTTTATCCAATCTCGATAATTTCCATCGAGCCTTCCTCACAAACATCATTGGCAACCAGGAACTAAAATCTTATTCTGAAGCCATGAAATCAGTTAAATAGCGTGAAGCTATGGCCAAAGAAATTCAGGCCCTTGAATCAAACAACACTTGGTCTTTATGCCCCCTTCCAGAAGGAAAATCGGCAATTGGTTGTAAGTGGGTCTACAAAATTAAATATCAATATGATGGTTCTATTGAGCGACATAAGGTCGTTTAGTTGCTAAAGGTTACACTCAAATTAAAGGTATTGATTATCATGATACTTTTGAACTTGTGGCCAAACTAGTCACAGTCCGACTTCTCCTCTCCATTGCTGTCATTAAAAATTGGTCATTACATCAACTTGATGTTAATAATGCTTTTCTTCATAGAGATCTCCATGAAGAAGTTTATATGACGCTTCCACCTGGATTTTCTCGTAAGGAGGAAACTTGTGTATGCAAATTACATAAATCCATTTATGGTCTTAAATAGGCTTTTTGCCAATGGTTCTCTAAATTTTCAACCACTCTTATTCAAAGAGGTTTTTGTCAATCTATTTCTGATTATAGTATGTTTACCTACATTTATGGTCCAACATCTGTTTTTGTTCTTGTTTACGTTGATGACATTATTATCACTGGCAACAATGATGATGTCATTTCTGATATCAAACAATTCCTTGCTCAATCATTCTCCATCAGAGATCTTGGAAATCTTCGAAATTTTTTAGGGCATTGAAGTATCTCGTTCCAAAAAAGGAATATTTTTATGTCAAAGAAAATATACCCTTGACATCCTATCTGACACCGGTATGACTGGTTGTCAACCGTTTGACTTCCCCATGGAACAACATCTCCGTTCATGACCCAATGATGGCACTCCTCTTCCTGATCCAACAATCTATCGTCGCCTTATTGGACGCCTCTTATATCTCACTGTCACACGACCTGATATTCAATACGTCATTTACACCCTTAGTCAATTCATGCAATCTCCATGCTCCTCTCATCTTGATGTAGCCACACGAGTTCTTTGCTATCTTAAAGGTACTATAGGTAAAGGTTTATTCCTTTCTGCATCTATTTCTATTACTTTAGTTGGATATGCTGACTCTGATTGGGCTGGTTATCCTATTATTCGTCGATCTACTACTGGTTATTTTACCATGCTAGGCTCAAGTCCTATTTCTTGGAAAACCAAGAAGCAACCCACGATTTTTCGTTCTTCTGCTGAAGCATAATATCGTTCCCTTACAGCTCTTACTTCTGAGTTACAATGGTTAACATATCTTCTCTCTGATCTTGGTCTTCTTCACCCACAACCAATTACAATTCGCTGTGATAGTCAGGCTGCCATTCACATTGCCAAAAATTCAGTTTTTCATGAACGCACCAAGCATATTGAGATTGATTGCCACTTTATTCGTGAAAAAATTAAAGCAGGTCTTATTACTCCTTCTTATCTAAGATCTCGTGATCAATTGGCTGATATTTTTATTAAACCACTCGGAGGTGACACTTATCAATGATTCCTTTGTAAGTTCGGTGTCCTTGACATTTCAATTCCATCTCCAACTTAAGGGGGGGTGTTGGATACAAATCAAGGAGCAACAATGCAACTATGATGCAAATCAAGGAGCAACGATTTAATCTTGATAACAACAAATCAATTGTTATTATTAGGATATCAATAGTTTCAAATTATAGATAATATAGCTGTAAATTAGTTTTCTAATTTCTCCCTATTTTGAATTTAAACTTTTGTAAACCTGTGTATTTAAGTCTCAGCATATCAATGAATGATACATGTTCACAAATCATTTCCTTCCTTTATTCTTTCACGTTTTACATTATTGGCTTTCTAAGAAAGTAAGGAGAAGTTGTTCAAGACGGTAAGCAATTTGACATGGGAGTAAGTTAAATAATTTCAGCATTTTGTTAACATGTACAATTACAAAAAATCAAAGATCTTATGTTTCTCATGTTTGCCTAAGACAAATTCATGGCTATATGTTTAGGATTTAACTTATGGTTATAAAAGACCCCAACCATCAAGGCCAACGCCATAACTAGAGATCCTCATAAATTATTTCATGAAGATAAGGTTCTTGAGACTAAATAAATTGAGAGAAAATATAAGAAGAAGTACAGTAACAGGACAAGAGTAATTGGCCATTTATATTCTTTTTGGCTTGATATATTTTACCTATAATTGGTCATTTGATTGATTCTTATTTTTTCAACTATTATTGTGTTATAGATTGTACAACCAAGTACACTCATGTTTGTAAGTGCTTATGTGATATTTCTGTCAAAGAAACTTCATTCAAGAGAATCTTTTCTTGAGTAATACTAACAACACACTCTTTAGTACACACTCTCTAACACACCCCTATTATTAGCTAAAATTATGTGTCTCACCCTTTCTCACTCCTAAAGTAATAAATTTTGTAGCTTTCAACAAATTTTAGTTACTAATAAATTGTGTGTTAGAAAGTGTGTTTCTAGCATTACTCTTCTTTCCTTTAGTTAGGTCATGAAATATTTTAATTAAGTTTGCAATTATACTTTGTACAAAATTAAAATGCTAAAATTGGAGTTTCGAATAAGTAGATGATGATCAACATAGTCTTAAAAAAGAAAACAATGAACAATACATGAATAATATACGTGATAGAAAAACCAACAACTATTAATGTTTTTAATGGAAAAATCATTTAAAATATTTTTAAAAATTAAAATATTAAAGTGAATAAAAATACTAATTTTGCTTTTAAAAAATTTATAAACATTATCTTAACATCATTGATTACTCTTCTATAATGATTATAAATATTTTGAAATCTTTCCAGGTCTCTTGGATAACTGACAAAATTAATTTTAATGAAATTAAAAATTTATCATTTTTGTTCACTATACTTCAATTTTTATAAAAACTCTATTGTATATACATTTTACATATTATATATATATATATATATATATATATATATATATATTTCAATGTGAGGTATTAATAATGGACATTGGCAAAAAAGAGAAGAAAGTGGATACTGGAGTAGCAACATCAAATTTAAGCTCTTTATTTTGATCTAATGGTTATTATTAATGTCTCTCACCTCTCATAATAATAAACTCTTCTCACTTGAAATGCTTTGTATAGATATATATGGGGAAGAATTTTCTTATACCGGTGTAAGTCTAAAACCTCTTACACCTAATTTGAGCATTTCATTAAACTTAAATATAACGACCAGTGAAATTATATATATATACAAGATCTTCTTACACTGATGTAAATCTAAAAATTCTTACACCTAATTTAAACTTTTCATTTAACTTAAATCTAACATGTTATAATATATTACTTCTGGCTGTTAGATTTAAGTATATTCTCATTTTATTTCAACTCTCTCCCTCTTTTTTCCTCTCACGTTTCTTAACATTAAACGTCCTATGAATAGATACTGATATAATGCATTGTTAACTGCAAGTCTGCAAAACTAATATATTCTTATATCTTTTCCTTTGGTGCATAATAATTGTATAAGCTATAATTAAATAATACAACAATTTGCTACGATAAAAGAGCTTTCATTCTTTAATTGAAATTCAACGCGGTGATAGTAACAGAATGTGGTGGTCATGAAAATGGTAGTTGCACTAAATGCATAGTGGTACTTTTATAATATATTAATTATATATATTTTTAATTAGTAGCAGGCTTGATGATGGTGGATGGCGAATGACGATGGTGGATGGTTGAATATTAAAGGCAAGAGTATATTAATTATGTTTTTTAAACTTTTGTGATCAATGATCTAATATTTATCTTTAAATAAAATACTTTTATAATGTATACTCAAAGACATAATAAAAAGTTATTAAATAAAAAATTATAGTATTAATACATTGAATTTTATAATATTTTATAATTTTTGATAAAAATTACTATATGCAATATTTTATAGTCTATCACTGAAAATAAGTTAAAAAAATTCATAAAATAATAAAGGATGCTAACACAAGATTTGGACGCGAGAAGTTAAGGCAGACAGCACGCTTTATCAAAATGGGCAACCCCACGGATTAGTAAACTGATTAATAAATTTAAGCTGCCAAAAGTAGTTAGTGACATTGCATGATATGAGATCGTAAATTCAAAGGTGAAAGAAAAAATATTAATAAATTCACGATCAAATGATAAATATAGATATATAAACATTTCCGACTTCTATTTCAATTGCCATTTGAAGAGGTACATGTATTTTGGGCAAAATTTTAGTTATTAGTATCATAGCAAGCCTTATTGAATGAGTTCCGAAATAAGAAGCTAAGTACGTATAGACAAAGGAGAAGAAATTGGAGTAAAGAAGGGAAAAATTGAAAAAGATTAGGGGGTGGGTCGGAGGAGCTAATTCAATCGAATAATTCCCACTTGGTCGATGATGGAGAATGATCAAAGGTCTCCCACTTGGTTGTAACAACAACAGGTTTTATTCTTGCATTAGATACCTTGAGTTGATCCAGGGTTTCTACACATTTTTGCACCCTCTTTCCCTGAAAAGATGATAATCAGATTAAGCATATAACCCTGTGACTTACCCAAATAAGAGATCATGAAAATATAGGCACTGAAATATTTTTTAAGGAAATAAAATAAAAAAATCGTGAAAATATAAGAATAAAAAATCTTCATTTTCGGTATTTTTTTTCTCTTTCATTTTAATGCACAACTAAGTCCTCTTCAATTTTATGATGGGATTAAAGAAACAATAAATTTATTTATAGATGATGTTTACTGGTGCCAAAATATTTAGAAGTATTATATATCAATAGCTATATTTACCTTCCAAATGAAACAAAAAGAATGCCGAAATAAGTACTAGTCAGCAAAATGGAATTAGTTTTATTGAAAATACCTGCAAATTTTTCTGCGTAGAAGCATCTTCTGCTGAAATGCTTTCTAATTTGATTGCTTGTCTCATAAGCATCTCAATTAGTGTTGTGATTTGAACTTCTGGTACTTTGACTCCGTTGGAAATAGACTTCTCAATTGCAGAGACCTAATGGCAAGAAAATGAGTTGTATGTTATGTTCGGACAAAATTTCGGGTTTCACTTACATACACATGGTGCTTACTACTTCCACACGTGAGCATTCAAACTCAATTGTCTATTATATTATATATAGAAATTCAATTACCTAGTTAGTCCCGTCAGATTTATATGAAGGAAATTTAGGTTCATGTTATTGTACCTCAAGTTCCAATGGACCAGATAAATATATTAAGGTTTTGACTATTCAACCGTTCCTCGTTATCCTTCGTAATCACTGAGGTTTAATTGTGAAAATCTTGCTTCTCAAATGTTATGATATTGTCGAGAATAAGATAGATCGAGTTAGGTTTCTTTATCCGACATGAAACAGTGGCAAGTAAATAGTGGCAATTAATATTAAATAAATTATTTTCGATTTATACAATATTTAGAGACCAAAAAATTATTGATACAATATAAAGGTTATATTTATGTAATATTAATGGACTAACTATGCAAACACTAAGATTAGATTAATAATGAATTACTTAAAAATTTCACACGAAATCATTAACTTTCACGTCATTGCCAACTGCCACAATTGAAGCAAAAGAATTGACTTGGTGCAGACGATGTATACGCAAAATTTTCTCCCATAACAACTCATTCTGCAAATACTCGCCAGTCCTAAAATATCATGTAACTTGTTTGGCTCCACCAAAAAGGAATGCATGATTACAAGAGCCTCGGGGTTCTTATCCAGATATAATTGAGATGTATCATCAAATTGAAATTTCAGACACCCCATAATGACATAATTTGATGTCGTATTCACGGCAAATTGTAATATAAACTTGGTCCACGCACCACTGATCTAACAGCTTACTAATGCGGTTTGTTTGTTTGTGCATTTAGTGGTATACTAAAATACATTTACACCCACTGGCACTGACCCACGTTATTCCAGCTGTGTGAAAAAGTATCAGTAGTCATGACGATAACCCACCGGCCACCAAGTAAAACTGTCATCCACTCTTTGACCCACCATCAATTTATTCAATGCCACCTTATTCTACGTTTCAGCCGTTCAATCTACTCTTTTTCCTTTTTACATGCCATTCACTTTAATCTAATTTTCGAAAAACGCTACAGGTCCCATTTATCAAATATATTTTCTCAACCTTCTATTTTGTCTATCCTTGAGCAACCCAATTGCTGATAATTTTGATAGATAGGAGAGCTTGTAGTTACAATCCTTATTTTATATTAGTTATGTATGTAACTAGTATTTAATTTTGATCTAATTTATGTCAACTAAAGTCAGTGCATATTATAAAATTTAAAGTGTAACAAGAATTAGATTAGATTATTGGCAAAGCTAATTACAAAATTATCAAAGATTCGTGATAAAATGTAGAAAAGTCACATACCTGTTCTGCGAGCTGGTCAAGTTCAACGGCAACATTGTTGATTGCGCGATGTGCATTCTGGATCTTGGCGTTAATACGCATCTGAATGAAGCGTCGTTCAATGCTGGAAGGGTCTTGGATTAGCACCAATTTTGACCTGTCTTTGACTCCACACATGTCCAAGTATTCTCCATTTTCTCGTTCTTTTCCTCTGAACACCAATCTCTGTTCATCCACCTGTAGCCCTGTTTCCCCACTCAGAACCTTCTTCACTTCCCCTGTCATCAGTTTTACACTTTCACCCTCAGACTTTTCATCCCAATTCCACTATAACGGGGGCAAATTAGTCATGTCAATTCAATAATTATCAATTCCTTCCAAAAACGTAGGCCATCATTATAATATCATGACTTGTTTTGTTTTCCAAAAAAAGCAACAAAAAGAAAAAAAATTCGAACAGTCCATGCAATGCTACGTGAGCACGTAGCATCAGCAATGATGATCCATCCAACTAACTCGATTTCACTAACATTACTAATCGGAATAGTAATTTTCTCAGTAACCAAACAGAGCGGACGAAATTAAAATTCACAATGCTAGAATAGATCCAGAGCTTGTCTTACCGAAAGTGGCCATTGAACTCACGCAGATCTCGTAACGGAGAGCACCGTACGCGATTCGGAGGCGCAAATTGGGGGTTGGAGCATCCGTTTTCACGGTCCTTTTCTGCACTAACATTCCTCCTGGTCTCATTTCCCATTCGGTTTCTTCTTCTCTCACCGTTGAAGACGACGATGAACTCTCTCTCGCGTTCAGTTTCTTTCTCATCATTTTGAACTCGGTTTTCCCGGGGGGGAAAAAAAGCACAATGGAGAGTGGTTTTTCTCGGGAAAATGAGGGAAAATATCTAAGTCATGACGAAAACCGGTGTATCCTCTGCCGACACAAACAGGTTGTAATGTTTGCGAGTGTGGGGGTTTATATAGTACGGGACGATGAGGGAAATTATGGTGGTCATGCGGGGTATGAAGGGAGAATCTTGAACCAATCAGAAACGTGCCACGTGTATGGGTTAATTAGCTTGTGTGTAATGACAGCTAAGCTTGCCGACAGTTGAAGGAACCATCCCAATGAGCTACACAGGAGCAATGTTGCTTTTGCTTTTGCTTAGTGTTAAAACGGGACACGTGGGTGGCTTCTGTTGGATAAGGGTTTTGGGGTTTGTATGATTGTGGGTTGAGCCATTTCGAATTTCGTTGTTGTGGTTGGTTTAGGTTAAATGATTTCGTTTTTTGTGGTTGGTTTGTGTTCATTAGTTTCGTTTTCATTAGTAGGCAGGGAAAAATGGCCAACTGGGACATTACTTTGCCTGTACAGTTATGTGTTTGGTAATGGTAATGTCATTTTGAGGTTGGAGAGGTTATCTTGCCCGTTGATCCAAGCTTTGAGTCAACCGATCAGACGGTGTAGGATGGCTCTTGACTTGTGGGTTTCTTTGTTTGATGGATGGTTTGCTTGTAGAGAGATTAACGTAATATTTGTTATGATAGATGGATAAGGTTTAACAACTTGCTGTTAAGTTATTAAGAGTAAGGATTGAATTGCAAAAGTTTATTATGATCAAGGACCTTGATTAACTCTTTGACTACGCTTACTTGCCGAATGGATTATAGTTGTCATTGACAAGGACAGAGTCTATGAATGTTGCTGCTAGTTCAGCTGGTGATATCAAACCATATTTAACTCTTATCTTGCCATCAATTACTGAATCATTCGTAGAATCGATTATATAATATATTCTGAAAATATAAATTCATTTCACAAGTGTCTATTTAGCATTTTATTTATTTCCTTTGAATTTATTAATAAAAATTTAACAAATAATTTCCTTTATCTTTTTGCTAAAGTTGGACAATTCAAGTTTTTTAAACTCTTTAATCGGCGTCTTTAACACCATTTATAATATAATGTATATTAAATAGTTAACTAAACTTTTCTTGCTTTCTCGTCTTAAATTAAACTAGTTTTACCATACATTTTGCTTATTAGAGTGTATCCTAGCTCCTCGCATCTTCATTGCAAACGACAAATGTGTTCATGAAGAGAGAGAAGAGAAAGGTTACAGAGGTGAACTATGATAGCGGTAGGCAAGCAAGCCACAACAACAGATGAATTTTGATGGTTCTAATAAACTGATGAACAAGCATTGCAACAAATTCTTTTTTATAAAAAGATGATTCATTTAGTTGACGACTCGATGCTACCTAACCAGTTTATTAATTTTTCGCAGAATCGGTCAAGTCGCGCTTGTTCGCATTAGGTTATAAGCTTTTCCATTCTAATGTATCAACCAAATCAATTACCTAATTTTACTTTCGTTGAATTGACAAATTTAATCCAAGTTTCATAACTCTAGTTTGTAAATAATATAATTCTATTAAGTTAAGAATTTTTTGAGAAATTAAAATAATAATCAAGTCAATAAAAAATTATAATAATATTTTAAAGTTGTTATTGTTGATATTATTAATATCATTATCGTCAGCTAAATATTTACTTACGTTAAATCTCTCTTTAGATGCAATTAACATTTTAAATGAATGTATTATGTACCGTAATTTCAGAAAATGGAAAAGGCATATGATATCATCAAACTAAAAAATTACAATTCTGTTAGAATAAATCATTTGCATGAATATATAGATGAAAATAGACAAAATTATAGCTAAGGTATTACAGGGTTTTTTTTTTTTTTTAATGTCAAACCCAATATCTAACAAAGCAACTTAAGGAAGTTTGAACAAATTTAAATGAGTGGTAATTCATATTGCTTGACAACCGAATTATTTACGAATTATGAAGATCAAAGCAATCTTGAGTTTCAAAACTTGCATTCATTCTATATCAAATTTTACTTATATAATCAATGAAGCATTACTATTTTTAAATGACTAATTTATTCTTAAAATTAACACCAATATGAAACTTGATATTATGAAAAATACCAATTTGATCTTTAAACATGATATCATCAGTCAATTTAAGCCATGACTCTAGCCCTAATTACAGGCTTTTTTTGGCAAAATTAAAGAATAAATTAAATAATAATATCAATTTTAAGAACTAAATTAGCATGTTTTGCACTTTTAAATTTAGGACTCCGTTTGGAAAAGAGCTTAGAGAAGGAAAAAAAAACTTATGTTTTCTATATTTGAAATACTTGGGAAGAAGCTTTTTATATATAAAAAAAACCTTAATACAACATGAAAAAGATAATTTACACACACATAACAAAACTGACTAACAATTTCAGTTAGGAACCTAATTGAATAATAATTATCGAAGTTAAAAAATAATTTTTTTTAATTATGTCAAAGACTAATGGATTAGTAATGCCAATTCAAACATAAATTGAACTGTTACTTGTAAATTTAGGCTTCAGCCGGTTTTAGATGAGAACTTTCAGGGAGAAAAAAAAATGATATATTTAGAAGAAGAAAAAAGTTTAATAAAAGTATTAAAAAAAAAATGTGTTGTGCTTAGACACAATTTTTAACAAACACACGAGCAACATTTTATGAAATTATGAACACAAAAATCTATTTACGAAAAGAATTTGTGCATGATAAAAAGCTCTTCCAAACTCATTAAAATAGAAGTACCCAAAACAATTGTTAAGAACAAGCACATCCAAACGGCTACTTACCTGCTAATGTAAGTATATCCAACAAAATCTCTACAGATTAATATCCTTCATCTCAAATTTCTGACAGCAAAATTGAACTCTTTCCTTCCATTCCATCTATAACTTTCACTAGACAACATCCAGTGTGTATAATGTCTTACAAGCATGTTGTTTAATTCAGGAAAGTAGCACCCAAACCACAATACAATGCAGCAGTTAGGTAGCTCGAAAATCAAGGAAAAGGCGTAATTTTTGTATAAGCATCTCACGAGTACCAAAAAGTGGTTTCCCACTTGTGATCCAGTCCTTCTCCAGGAGATTTCCTTTAGCACCAGCCAACATCTCATCATGGAATGCAGAGACTATTTGGTATATTGAAGTCTTGAGAACGTCAGCAATAGCATAAGCTTTTGAATTTACTGGGCCACTTCTTCTTTTACCAGCAGCAACATCTACTCTTCCACTATTTATGGTTGCCCATTTGATACCAGCAGGTCCCAACAACTGATTTGGGGATTGCAGGTTTGTTTTCTTTCCCATGAAATTTTCAACAGCAAGAAGGCAGGATATCAAGGTTGAAACCACGGCCGCATTACTCCCAGAAAGCTGAGCAACCCCAAACTTGTCTTCTTTACGTGAGAAGGCAGTCAGGGAGGCAACAGTCCTTGAACACCACGCATAAAGCTGCATTTAAGCAAACAAACATTTTTAATATGTATCTAAAAATTCATAAATCAGGGGTGCTGCTTTATTGCCCCACTACTACTACACAAGATCTCTTATCAGACACAGGTTAAATAAGTGCCTTTTGTCACCACTGATGATTAATTGTAATTTATAGGGTGGTAACTCACGTCAATGACCCAAATGCATATTTATGCAGCCCAAAAGATTTGGGTTGCCTTCCCTCTGTAATCCCATTCACCTTTAGTTATTGCATTATCTAAACAGCAACATAATCCTCAGTCAGAAAAAGATGTGAGGTTTTAAATATTTAAAAGTTTGGATCATATGTTAAGATATTACAGTTATCATTGTGCTAAAAGTGTAACTGGGATAGACTTGTACTAGTTATCTTACACTTGTAATAGACCTAAAATATTTAAAGAGTATTAGGTTAGTGTATCATTGTTATGCAATGTCATGATTATTTAGAATCTCATTACTTGATTAAATTATCTACTCGGTTGGGCCATAAGACATTTTCCCCTCACCAGTCACTTCATTCAATGCGCACACATCCCATTTCCAAGGCAGGAGTTTGTTGTTAAAACAAGAACAGGTTAAGGCTTCTGGGTGTTTAAATAATCAGTCTTACAACTAATAAGAATTTCATTAAACTATCCATTCCCATGCTCCATTATATAAAACTGAAGATCAAACAGGTAAGCCTGAAAGACATTGTAGCAATGCTAATGCTAAGCGTTAAAGATGTGTTTAGTGAAGTTCAAAATTCAGCATGACCACCCAAATTCCCACAGCTTTCCAGTTATACAAAGCATATTGATTTGTTAGCTTTAGATTAACAATGGAAAAATAGTGAAGTTATACATGTACCTGAAAGTTGTACAGTTCTTCTACACACTTTGAATCTGGTCGTGGATCTGTTGGGGAGGACAACTGATTTGATAGTTGTGCAGGTTTGTCAACAGAATTTCCTAAGCCTTCACCTAATTTTGTGACAAGATGCTCCAATGGCCTCAAGCACACAGCAATTACTCTTTTATAAGTCTCACCGGTTTCTTCAAAAAATCCAGCACGCCGCCAAGTGTCAACATTGTTCTCACAAACCATACAGAGATCAAGATATGCAAGATACCGAAGAAGAGATGTAGGATTACTCTCCTCCAAAGCTGAAAGGAGATGCTCACTTGGATTTGTTTCTGCTGCTGCTGATCCTTTTGGAGGTGCAAATATGGACCTCTTAGTGTGTAAAACCTATGTACCATAATTAACCAAGACAGAGACTTCAGTAGCTGGTAATAATGCTTCCCTCAAAAGGCTGGGGATTGTACATGAACACAAATATCCAGAATTCCATATTATTGTATATGTTCTAGAACCAGTAACAGGTAACACACATATATACAGGGTTCGTTATGGATAGTTAAGATAAAATTGAGACTCGTAATTTTTTCAAAGGCATGTCTTATTGAATGTCACGTTTAAATGTCAAATTGGATTCACATATTTTCCTGCCAGCCTTACACCGTACAATGAGCAGTCACAACCAACGTGCACATTTAGATTATCAGTTCAAGTAACAAATCTAGGACATTATACTAAATAATTCTTCATAGATCAACCAAATTTTATTGTACATGAAAGAAATTAGGAATCCCAAAGATCACATCTGTAGATCACTAAACAAAGGTTGAACAAGCACAACATTATCGATGCATTAACAGATATAAGTGCAGCTCAAAACAGATAAATGCAGAAAAACAGGAATTAGGTTCTTCTACCTTCGATACAAACATGGATTAGTTAGAGAAAACCATATATAATTCAAATTATCGAATCGCAAAACGACACTATTTCATTTTGAGATTTGCACAGGAATGACTAAAACAAAATCAACATCATCAAGCATGAGTCCAACAGTAATAAGAAAGTAGAACATAACAAACAAAGTGAACAGACAGAAAAACCAACCCAGTGCAAATGATGAGTCAACTCCCAGCAGAGGAAAATAGCAAAACTTGCAACATAAAAGATAATCTGCTCAGCAAAGAATCTTCTGGTTGCAATGCCGTAATTAAATGGATGAGGCAAAACCTCCAACAAAACAGCAGAAAAAAGAAAAGCAACAGTGGAAAGCTTGAAAGCTCGTCTAGTAGCCGAAGGAACCCCCATCTTGAAACTGAAGAAAGGAGGTCGCTGTTCACAGAATCAGTGATTAGTTCACATTACCAATCAAAAAAAGAAAATGCTGCTGCGGTAATTATAAATTAAGAGAATAACCTGAATAATGGGAAAGTCCAAAACCCATCGGCGCTTGAAAACGTAATGAAAACCGAAAAGGGAACCAATGAGAAAACCCCTAAACCCGACTCTTCCAATAGCCCAAAAGCCATCACGAATGGGGGCCACTCCAGCGAGGGAAACGGCGGCGGCGAAGCCAGAGGCTGCGGAGGCGGCGACGAAGAGGAAGAAGGCGAGGGAGAGTCTTAAGCGGGCGCGGAAGTCAGCGGGGTGAGGGGCGGTGGCGGGGATGAAAAGGAAACGGAGGAGGCGAGTGGCGAGATGGAGAGGGGAGAGGGGGCGGAGAGGGTGTGGGGAAGAGACGAGGGAGAGGGTTGCGGAGAAGAGAAGGTGGAAAGGGAGGAATAGGAGGAAGTAGCATAGTGAGGAGTGAGGGAGAAGAGAAGAGAAGAAGAGGAATATGAGAGAAGAGGGTATGGATTGCCAGATCAAGTAACTCAGGAAACGATTCTTGAGGACTAAGTGTGGTGTAGTGGTGCCAGATTGAGACATGGACGGACATGTACGATCAAACCAGCTACCTTCCTTCTAGGTTTTCTGTTCTGCCAACCTCCCCTTTTTCTTCTCTTCCTTTCGCACACCGCTTCAAAAGGAGTCACCAGGTTTTTAAATTTTCAAAATTTCTCAAACTTCCTCAACTCAACTTTTTTCCTCATGTATGAACAACATGCATAAGCAACCACTCATTTCAAAAATACTTTTATCTATTATTTTACTAGTCTCCTTATGTCTCTATTCATTGGGTGATCCTTCATTTAATCCACTTTATTTACAAAAAATTTGTAAATTTTGTTCTTATATACCTAAATCACTTATTAGGAAGGAAACAAATAAATAAAAAACATGAAAAACAGAACATCTTGTTTTAGTTTAACTCATTCAAATTTTTTTATCTGATTCAAACTGACCCAATTTTTTAAGTGTAAAATACACGTTAAGACTAACATTATTTTTTATTTTCAAAATTTACTTTATATAACATTTATGTTTTATATAACTTTATAGTAAAACTTTTCTTCAAATTTAAGTGGCACTATGTTGTCACATATAAACATATCTATCTGCTGGTAAAAAATTTATATATTGTTTATAATAACTGAAGTTTTCAATCAGCGTATAAAAGAAGCAAATATTCAGCACATAGTGAAGTAGCCATTTCGTTAGGGTATTAGACGTTTAATAAGAAATTTGTTATTTTCATTTCACATTCTCACAATAATCTCTACGTAAAAGGAAAAATAAAAAGAGAGAAATGTCTCGTAGAGAGATAAAAACAAAAATTATGAAAATATATTGTAAACATACGAAGTAAAGGAATTATTATTCTTTAACAAACGAAGAATCATAAGTCTCCTCTGCTGTTCTATCTGCAAAATACATTTTCCATCTCTGAAGAAAAAAAATCTTCTCAGATTTCCAATTGAGGATGTAGCAAATATAACATCTCTTCAATTACGAAAAAGATTAACCATAGACAGTGTGAATTGTGACTCTTTGGAAAAGATTAGTGCACCCTACGAATCTACGGTCGTAATGTCTTGGCAATGACATATATCCAAATTAGCACAGGACTGATTTCCACCCTCAAGAAGGCATTCTGTGTATTGATCGTTTCCCTGTGTTCTTATAATCCACCATAGCACTCTCGCTTCTTCAAATGCCAATCCATTTGTCTCTGGCACATACACAAGCACAAAGATAAACGCAACTCCAGCTAAAACACCAAGAATCCCGAAACTCACACCAATGCCAAAACCATCAGAAATTGAAAGAAAACTCTCAAACATGATGATACTGCAAATCCAGTTCACAGTAGCTGACATGCCCCCACACAAACCACGAAATTCTTCAGGGTAGATTTCTGAGTTCACAGTCCATGGCACTGGTCCCATTCCAAGGGCAAAGAAAACAGTATACAAGGCTAATCCCATAACTACTATCCACCCATAAACTGTATTTGTAGAGTCCAATGTTTCAAAGTATGATCCTGCAGAAATTATTGCCAGAGCTACTATTGCACCTGACAAGCTTACTAGTGCTAACAGCCTTCGACCTGCATGGTCGATTAGATAAATGCCCAGAATTGTTCCACAAACATTCATGCCAGCAAGAATGAGACTTAGAAGAAGAGCTAATTGTTTGGAGTTAAACCCAACCATTTCAATGATCATAGGGCTGTAGTACATCACTATGCTTAGACCTGTGAACTGCTGAAAAGCCTGCAGAATAATAGAGTTGTCACCGCTTACCCTTTGAAAAGAAAAGAAAAAGAATAGCGTTTGGAAGAAAATTATATACCCTCCTGAAAATGTAATTTAGAAACAAAATTTAAGGCTTGTCTGAAATTAACCTGAAGTCCAGCTCCAACAAAAAAGGCAATTTTGATTTCCTTGGACCTGAAAACATCCCTGTATCTAATGTTCTTCAGCTTCTTACGTTCTTTCCCAAGACATTCAACTTCATGCCTTTGGCGTTCTTGATCATAGATATTACCAAGCACAAAAACAGCTTCTCTTGTTCTATTCTGTATATAAAAATGGTAATTATTACATATTCCAGCATAGGGAACGCATTCAATTCGTAAAATAAAATAGAAGCCTTTCACCTTGAAGAAAAGCCACCTTGGAGACTCAGGCTGAAAAAGCATGACACAAAACTGAATAACAGCAGGTAAACTCGCTACTCCCAGCATCCATCGCCATGTCCCAGGAACCTGTTTTATCAAAGAAACCTCACTGTGTTATCACGACTCTGACTCGTGGCAACAAAATTCAGTTGAAAGATCAAACCTGGGCAAAGGCGAGACTTGTGAGGTAAGAAAGAAACTGTCCAACAGCTATCATAAGCACATTTGTGCTCACTAATGAACCCCTTATTTCCGATGGTGAAGATTCTGCAATGTACATAGGAGCACTGACAGAAGCAACGCCCATACCAATCCCAACAAGAATACGACCAAGTATGAGAAGATGCACGTGCGGTGCAGCAACCATAACTATTGATCCAAGACTAAACACAACATCAGCAATAAGGATCGCCTTCTTTCGTCCAACAAAATCGTTAATCCACCCAGCTGCAGCTGCTCCAATAATTGCCCCTACCAATGCTATGCTTACAATTGTTTCCTGAAGGAAGATACTTCTCTTCACAGCCTCAAAATCTTCTTTGATATACACTAGGCTACCCGATACAACACCTGAATTTCAAATATATTAATGTTCACATTTGCATGAATTAAGTTCTTGAAATATAAAAATGAATAAATATGATATGGCTATATTTACCTGTGACGTAGCCAATTAAGAGTCCACTAATTGCAGCAGCTGAAGTGAGTCCAAGAACGTAGTGACTCTTGAAATACGTCAATTTTCTCTCCGGATACAACTCCAAGTACTCAGGCGTCGCCATTTCAATTAATTCACTCAATCCTTCTTACCACAATCAAATGATCAGTGTTTCCTTACTGTTTATTTTACACCAAAATCAATGAGAGAACGTGTAATTCAACTTCATCTGTGTACTCCACATTTTTGCTGCTTCTATACTGCTACGATCGTTTTATAAATAATAATTCTTGACCAATTATCAGGATTAGTTATTATAGTTAGGCCTTTAAGCAATTAGTTAGTGACTATAGTTAATAAGTTGTTATATCAGTTATATCTTTCCATTTTGGTTTTGAACCACTTCCTTCAAGTATAGTATATATATTCCAACATTTGTTACTGATTTTTATCAGTTATCACATATTACAGTGAATAATCGTTACTCTCTTATCATTCTTTCTAGAATTTCCCCATCCGCAAAATTGTCATTTTCCCAAGCCAATTGCTACAAGGAATACCTACCATCTTAGAAACATAACATTTTACTAATTGAATTTAAGTTTATTTCTTTCTAAATTAAAAAACATTTTTAAAGTGTTTAAAATTATATAATAATAAAATTTTATTAATTATAATAATTAATCATTAGATTTAATTATATTTTTAATCTCTATAAATATTAAATTTTTTTTATAAATCTTTATAAATTTTGTTGTTAGTATTTAATTACTAAAAAGTTAAGGAATTAAAATTTAGTTTATGTCATCAAATTTATTACTTAAATTTTGAGCTGATTGACAAAAAATCAACTTGTAACATAATTTAATTTAATAATATTTTATTATTTAAAAATAATATTTACAAGTAAACACATTTTACATTATTATCTTTTTTTTCTTTCAACTCTCGCTCTCACTCTTATCCTCACCCCACATCTCTTTGCTAAAACCCACTCCCAACCCTTCTTCTCTCTCTCATAATTTAACTCTCATTGCACAATTTCACCTCTATTCTAAACATGTAACACACTATCATGCTCTTAACCTTTCTCCTTTCATCTTTATTTACCTCACACCTCTATCTCAAACTTGTTCTTCACTCTCCCACTTTCAACCTCACTTCGCACCTTCATTTCTACCCTAAACTCATTCCTCACTTTCTCGCTGTCAACTTTACCCAACACTTTATCTCACTCCACTTCTCATTGAGGTTGTTTATTTTCAACGCTCCAATCTCCTTATTCTATATTGTGACATGTGTATATTGTGTAGTATTTTTTTTTTTATGCGCTTAGTATTTATAATATGGTTGGTAAGTTAGATTTGAATTGAAATTAAAATTGTGTTTGTGCATGCTTTACTATTTACTTGGAGTTTTCTCAAATTGAATTTGCATAAATTTAAATTTGAATTAAAATTTTAACACAATAAAAAATGTTAATGTTTTTCAACTTTAGCTAAAGAAAAATTTAGAAAAGAAAAGGAGAAGAGGAAAGGAAAGGGAAGAGAGGGGTGGGGTGAGGGAGACTAAGAGGCAAGGGGTAAAAGTGAAAAAAGGAGAGAGGAAAGATGGAAAGAAAAAATTATTTATTTAAAATTATATAAAATATATGTAAATACTTATTTATAAATATTAATTTTATTTAATAAAATATTATAGCTAAAGAAAAATTTAGAAAAGAAAAGGAGAAGAGGAAAGAAAAAGGAAGAGAGGCGAGGGGTGAGGGGAACAAAGAGGCGAGGGGTGAAAGTGAAAAAATGAGAGAGGAAAGATGGAAAGAAAAAAATTATTTATTTAAAATTATATAAAATATATGTAAATACTTATTTATAAATATTAATTTTATTTAATAAAATATTATTAAGTTAAATAATGTGATATGTCACTTAAAAAGTATTAATCTTAATATTTGACGGAAAAGAGTTGATGACATAGAGTAAATTTAAACTCTTTAACTTTTTAAAGACTAAATACTAATAACAAATTTTATAAGAATTTATTATAAAATAATTAATATTTATAAGGACTAAAAATATAATTAAGTATTAATTATTAATATTATTATATAATTAATATATTAATTTTTTTATTTAAATAAAAATATAACATATATATTTATTATTAAAAAAGTATTTTGAACACCTTTTAAAAAATTGTAATTTTATGATTTATTTTTTAAATTCATATAAACATTACAATTGTTTTCTTCCTCACTATTTTCACCATTAGTCTTTCATATATTTTGTCTATTTAGTATCATTCTATTTATTTATGAAAACAGGATAATTTTTATTTAATTTATTTAAATATTACACACGGTTTTTATTTGGTTTTTCATTTTTGAAGAGTCACATACATACTTCAACAGAGAAAATATATTAATTGAAAATGGAGAGGCTTAGGCCTTATTGGCGGAAAGAATGAAGCAGATGGAGTGAGCGAAGTATGCACTCCCATCCTACTGCTACTGCTAGGTTGTTCCTCCTTCTCATGAAATGGCTATGATCCCCAGACGCATCTTCAGCATACGCGCTGCCTCCTCAGCTTATTTTTCCTCTCTCTTCTTCAACTTCAAACCATTCAAACCCTCTCTTTCTCACAGTCCCACGCGCTCATCTTCCACCTCGCCCTCCACCCCACGCACCAGAACCCCACTCGAGAAGCAATTCGAAACATGGGTCCAAAACCTCAAGCCCGGTTTCACCCCATCGGACGTGGACCGAGCCTTGAACGCCCAATCAGACCCAGATCTCGCCCTCGACATTTTCCGTTGGACCGCGCAACAGCGCAACTACAGCCACACCCACCTCACCTACCTCACCATCATCAAACAACTCATCGCCGGTCGCCGCTACCGCCAAGCCGAAACCCTAGTTGAGGAGGTAATCGCCGGAGCCTGTGATGTTTCCGTTCCTCTCTATAACTCCATTATTCGATTTTGTTGTGGTCGCAAATTCCTATTCAATCGTGCTTTCGATGTTTATAAGAAAATGCTTAGGTCTGAGGATTGTAAACCTAACCTTGAAACCTATTCCTTGTTGTTCAATTCGCTTCTTAGAAGGTTTAATAAGTTGAATGTGTGTTATGTCTATTTGCATGCGGTTAGGTCAATGACCAAGCAAATGAAGGCTTCTGGTGTTATACCTGATACCTTTGTGTTGAATATGATCATCAAGGCTTATTCTAAGTGTTTAGAGGTGGATGAGGCGATTCGGGTTTTTCGCGAAATGGGATTGTATGGCTGTGAGCCAAATGCTTTTAGTTATGGTTATATTGCCAGGGGTTTGTGTGAGAAAGGGAGGGTGAATCAAGGGTTAGGGTTTTATAAGGAAATGAGGAGTAAGGGTCTTGTGGCGAGTACTAGTACTTATGTGATCATAGTTTGTAGTCTTGCGATGGATCGAAGGTTTGAGGATGCGATTGAGGTTATGTTTGATATGTTGGGTCAGTCTAGGACCCCTGATCATCTCACCTACAAGACTGTTTTAGAAGGATTGTGTCGGGAAGGAAGAGTTGATGAAGCCTTTGAACTGCTTGACGAATGCAAGAAGAGGGATATGTCTATGAATGAAAAGATGTACAAGACTTTGTTGAATGAATTGTACTTTGTGTGCCGGGAGTAGATTCTGTGCTTATGCATTTGCTTGAAGATGCGCGAGGCATCCCTTTTGTTGGAGCCAAATTCAGTTGTTCTCCTGCTTTGTAGAGCCTGATGTGGAGGACTATGAATTTTATTGGACATATGATATATTGTATGAGACAGCTGATTTTTTTTGAATGAGCGCTAAAGGCATATATAGAGAAGGGTCTTGCCTCTCAACATCATTTAAACTATTTAACTTGCAATGTGAATGGAGAGGGGACCTGTTTAGGCATTAATAACTCTAGTATTGATTTTGATGATATGGTCACACAAGCTCCTTTTCTGCTGAAATGGGGCCTCTTACTACAGAAAACTTGAGCATATTATATGAACCAGGGCACAGTTTTGTAGGGCCACATGATACTTCAGCTGGAGCTAACACTGGCATGTAATTTCGACCTAATGTCATTTTGATGTATCCTTGCAGACGTTTCTTACTTGTGGATAGTTTACTGGAGTGGACGAGCATCTTATGATAATCATGTAACCAACCAAAGCAATCTAGTACTCATCCGATTGTTCTTTGTTGTTGATATATTGCCCGTAGTCCATTTGTTTGCTACATGAATTCATCTGGATTAGAGTTTAGCTGAGCGTTTTACAGTTGCTAGTTGCATTATCATTCATTTGTCTGTCTGTATCAGTCACAATCTTATCTTTTAACCCTAATTCTCCATGGTTCGGAATATATAAATTTGTGTTACTGGCATAAAGGGGGAGTTACATTGTTCGAATGACTTGGCAAGATCTTGTGCATTCTGAACAAAACAGAAATTACTCCATGTGTAGGGTGTTGATCATATTTACTAATGCAATTGTGTTGGAATATCTTTTCAATGTTTATTTCTTATCTGTTGACATTATCGGTTTATAGGTTTTGGTCTCGACTGTTTGGGTAAACTTGAGAAGTTTTTATACAAAAAAAATTAATATAAAAAATGAATAAAATTTATTTCATAAGTTAAAAATAATTTACATTTCTTTATATTTTAAGAAGTTGTGAGAAGTTCTCTTCTTTTTTAAAATTTGAAGAGATAAACTATTTTTAATTTATAAAAGAAGTTTTGTTTATTATTTATATTAAAAAAAATTTAAAGGACTTTTTTATACTTTCACTAAAATAGAACTTATATTTTGTTTAAGAATTCTTTTCATTTGTGAGAATAAATAAAATATGTTTATATTTGTTGATGTGCATGCTATGCATGTGGTTAAATTTAAAAATAAGCAAGCAGAGGATGAGATCTTTAGATGTCACCACAGCACAGCTTATTTTGCGGCCTTTTAATTATAGATAGATCTATATGATGACTAATGGACTCACTATGTAAACCTCGTGATCAATAATAATGATTAGGCTCTATTAACACGCGGGTAAAATTGTGATTCTTGATTAAAAAAAACTTGTGATAAAATGCATGTACGCATACTAAATTTTGAAATTGTTGAAATTTTAATAATTGATTTTTTTAATTAATGATTGTAATTTCACATTTTATCTTTAAAGTGTACACGTAACTCAGGAAGAACCAAATTCACTAATGACAATAGCCTGAGCTATACGTGGTTTTGACGAATTATCTGAGATCCTCCCTTATCGGTTTTACTTCTACGTCAACTGCGTTTGGATCCAATGAAATAGGAAGGAAAGAATATGGAACAAGAGATTTAGTTGAGAAATTTTTTTTTTCTTTAATTTGGATGTTTTGGAAGTTAGTGAAAAAGAATTTCTCACAAACAAAGATTATCTCCGTGTTGTGAATATAGTAAGGGGGAGGGCTATGGGTGGGTTTTTCATATGTTTTTGTTTTAACTTTTTTATATGAAATAATATTTTAATAATATAAAAATATTAAAAATAATATTTTTGCTAAGGAAAATACACTATAGTAAAAAAAATTACATTTTTATTAAATTTTTATGATTATTATAAATATTTTTTAAATCAGTATTTATTTTCTTTTGTTCTCTTTTTTACTCATTTAAACGAGTAAAAACTTATTTCATTTCTTTTTCTTATAGTTTTAGTCATCCAAACAACACTTTTTATTTTATTTCATACTCTTTTGGTAATTTCTTCTCTATTTTATCTCATCATCCAAATAAAGTTTAAAGAGAAAGATTCAACGACTCTAAAAAAAAAAACAAAATAACCTCAAAATAGATTTGGGTCCTAAGACGAAATTTAGTGGACGTAGTTCGGAAGGGTAGTTTTCAACGAATTTCTTTTTATATATTCTTTTGACTTTTTTTTTTGTTCCAAATATTCTTTTGACTTTGGAATCAAACTTTTTTATTGTTAAGATTGACGGTGGGAAGCCATGCAAAGGCTATATGTGTACGTATACTGTATTAATATTCTTTCGATTGATACTGTTGTACCAACTACTAAAAGTCCCAAAAAATTCTTCTTTCTATTGATATCCAACTTTCCAACTCTTATTTGGGACCAGGTTGCTGTCAAAGCACACGTCACAACGTGGTAAAGCCTACCAAAAAATGAAATTCTTTGAGATTGTTTATTTTACCAAAAAGAAAAGTCACATCAATTCTCGCTTAGTAACATTAAAGAAAACCTTGAATTATAAGAACATCATAACACTGATCCGCAACTATTACATGTCGAACAAACACTGCATAATAATATTACAAGACCACCCAATACTTTCTTACATAACCACATTCACAACACTCAACACCCCTGTTTCCTAAAACGTGTTATCAACAATTAATAAAGTATCTAAAAGTATCCCTACAAGATTACAACTAACAGGTAAATGACAGTTGAAACACCCATACTTTACATATCAAACAGATGATGCTGTTCTCGAAACTTGAGACAATGCATCTTCAAATTGGTCATCATCAATCTTATCAGAACTCAAGCTTGGTGGAATGAAAGATCTAAAAATCAATTCCATATTGGGAATATCCTTGAGACCATGAGCTGCAGCCTCAAGTGCTGGACTTTCAAATGTGGGATAAAATTTCTTTGCACAGGCGAAACCAAAGATCAATGACAATATGGGAAGAGGAATCAACACTGGTGTATAGTAGAATTTCTGCACCCCAAAGTAACCAAGCATGGTAATTTGGTATAATATCAAAGATGCTAGTATACGGTTGTGTATGTGAGGCCACATTCTTCCATTACTTTCATATGATGGTACATAGACTTTGAGTGCCTGTTATTAATACAAGAATAACAAAAATGTCAAACAAAAAAATTCTAACAGATGTGATTTCAAAATAATATGCCTACATTAGCAAAAGTCTATATGGTTTCTTAATGATGAGAGTGAGCATGGGATATCATCAAATTCCATGTAGTAAACATAAACAATTTGGAAATTTACAAGCTTATAAGTTTTCTATTTAAAGTTATCATCATCTATAAGCTTGTGAAGAAAAAAAAAATGATTGGGTATACTTTTCATAATTTGATGTATACTTTAAGTCTGAGTTTAATCCTTTATATTTTTTCTCTCGATTTTGGTCATTTATCTCTTCTTATGGTTTCATTTTACTCCTTTTTGCCAATAATGATGGTTTTTGACTGCCAGAAATTGTAATTTAAACTACTGCTAAAATCGATAACTTGATAGGAAGGGAAGGACCAAATTGATATAAAAAGAAAAGATAAAATATTAAACTGAGAAAAAGAAAAAGATAAAGGACTTAACCAAAACTCCAGATAAGCACAAGGAACATGTATAAGTTAGCCATAAACTAAACAAAATTCCAAGAACTTTACCTGATTTCGCAGTATAAGCCATCCTAGGCCAAAATATAGAGCACCAAATGGGATTATTAGAGGAGCAATGACAGAGTAACAGAAGACAATTGTGACAATCAGCATGTCACCAGGAACTCTAGTTCCATAACCAAGATCTCCGGGATACCAAGCATCTTTCAAATCAGCTTCAGTCTTGCAAAGATACTTTCTCTTCAAATGGAATATAATAAGAGGAACAATTCGGGACAGCTCAAGGCCATAGCCAACGAAAAATCTAAGACATAAGAAAAATCAGTTACTTTGTGTCATCTCAAGCATTTAAAAATTAAAAAAGGTTAAGTCTTTTCTTTTCCACTTCATATGCCTAGTAGGAATAGTCCAAAGGCCAAATGTTAAAGTTTACTCTTCACACACAAAATCATGTGAGAAAATATTGTTATAGATGTGCTTTTGGAATCCACAATAACTCCTACATCAAAATAATCTAGGAAAAGAAAATAACGATTATAATATGGAACATTACTTGCAGATAAAGCATGCCTTCTACATTTTCATCTATCATCATTAGAAAGTGGTTATGCATCCTTTAATGTATGAATAAACAAAAAGTATCATTGTGGATAAATAAACAAAATAAAATAAAGTTAAGAAGCTATCTTACTTCAGGGCCACATAGGTCAAGAAGAAAGTAGCATTGCCCGGGAGGCTTGCAGCCAGCATGGGCACAATTGTGTTTGGGTTCTTCTCAACTGTCTTGAATGTGCTGAACAAGGTTCCACCTATAGTAACACCAATGAAGACATTCAGCACACTAAAATAAAAATATTTTCCAGACGCGGCCCTGATGGCATGACTTTCACTTGGAATGCCTTCTAATTTAGACAAAAACAGAAGCAACTTGGGCAACAAAGCCAAGAAAATAATCAGTGCAAGTTGAGGGAGGTATGCTTCCAACACTGTCCTCAAAGCCTTTATACGGACAACTGGCTTTATGAATGGAATAATTTTCACCAAATTGTCCAAAGTTGTAAGCCCAGATATAAATGTAATTGGAATCATGTAGAAGAATATGGTCAGTGCAACAATGAAATACACCAAGTACTGCCTCAGCTCTCTCTGAAAAAACCTGATTTTCAAATTAGGCCATAGTAGTTGGCGCGGTTCAGGAGCATAAAAAACAGACCATGTGTCAACCATTTGTGCATGCAAACTCTGAGATGCAGATGCTGCGACTACCCTATTTGAGAAAAACACCGTAGCAGCATTTTGCTGCTTTTCTCTAAGAGTGACCTTTTGCTCAGATTCCAATTTGACAACAAGTTCATTAATCTTTTCATTGTAATACTCTATGCTATCCACCTTTTTACCAACAAGTCCAAGGAAACCAGTCTTGTTAGTAGGTCTTGTTCCTTCTGGTTTGGCAGTTGTTTTTGATCCTTCATATACTGCTTCAGCACAGGCAAGCTTCTTCTTATACCCTTCTAACTCCTCATAAATCTTATTCACCTGTTGGTAATAATCTCAGAGGAATTACATTAACATTCACAGGCAGAAAAAAAATTAGGGAGAAGCATCATAGACTGATTATATATTTACATTACAAAGACAAAATCATTAGACATTCTGCATTCTCTAGGTTCCTAAATTCAATCAGAAAATGGAAAGATGTGCTCCAATGTAATAGTGAAGGTATTTCAGAGGGTATGGAAAAGGGAAATCAAATGCAAACCATACCTCTTTGTTGTCTGTCACAATCATAGATCTGTAAAATGTCTCAGGATAGATGGCTTTGAAATAAGAGTCAACTTGTTCCTTCCTAGTCTGACCTTGAGGAACAGGAGGTATATCTCTTACAACTATAGCAAACTGTTCAGCCTTCACATCAGGAGTCTTGAGAGCTTCAGATCGCAGCCATGAGACATGCTTGTAAGCTCTCCATAAGAGGAAAAGTGTAACAAATGAAACCCAATAGCATGCAATAAGGAAAGCCCACAACCTTGAACTCTTTGCCTACACATACAAGAAGTTATTCAGTCTCTAGCATTATTATCATTAGAAGGTATTAAGAAACTGATTGGCTGTTTAACTCAGGAAAAATATGGGTCATTGAAAGAAAATTAGTTGAATAAAGGGAAAATTTACTCTATAATATTGTACAAAAATGCTATGCTACACTGATCTTACTGTGATGTTACCCATTGATAACTTGTCAAGCTCATTGAAGGTCCCCTTGCTAGTTGTTTGTTTCTTCCCACCATCGTCAGTAAGAGCAAGAGGCAAAAGAACCGGTAGCAGAATAACTCCAGATAAAACTAGGATACTCAACACTGGCAGTTAACAAGAAGAAGAATAATCAAAAACTGAATGCTGGATTCATTAATCATCCCATAAACATGTTGGCAAACAATTGTCAAATAAGAAAGCTTACAACCAGGGAAACACATTTATATAAAAAAGAAAGCTGTTGTAGTAGAAAACATTTCTCTTTTCTTTCTATGTCGTGTGATGTGAAAACATTTTGGGAACGAAAACACAATGCAATAGTCTAGAATCCACAAAGGTCATAAAGAAGCAGTGCAGTGTATATAGTGTAGCATTTTGCCCATACAGGCAACAATCTTCTTGTCATCACCAAACCATTTAAAACAGTGCTATGCTGAAGTAATAGCAGTGAAAGATTCACTCTATCAGAAGAACGATTAAGAAAAATATGAACAGAGGTTCAAGAAAAGGTATAAATAAAAAAGAGAAAAAAAAGGCAGTATTATTATAACTATTAGTGAAAATAGGAAATGAAAACAGAAAATGTTTTGTCAATCCAATCAGACCCTTAAATTACTGTAATGTATAAATAAAAATCCTCCAAACATTTGCATATCAAACTCACAAGGTAATCTTATAAAGATTCTTACTATGGTTTCATTATCAATTTGTAAATTGTCTAAATTTGTCACAGAATGCAACGGTAACCAGGACTGTGTTACGGTAGTTGAAACTGTCTACAATATATGCTGAAGTTTCACAATTCAACTCTCTCAAGGTTCATCACACATTTTGTTTCGCCCGAGATTTTTATTGAAACATTTGATAACCATTGTTCTGCACATCACATCGAAAGTTACACTATTTGAGTCCTCCTATGATGTTACCCAGGCTCATCTTCTCATAGGAATTATCAACACCCCGAAACTATGCAGATAAAATGTCATTAAGTACAACAAACAAATATTCCAAATTCTCACCTTATATGGTAATCTTATACACCCATAGTAACAGTTAAAAAAAGTGATACCAAAATAACAACCCGAAAGGGAAAAAAAACCACAATTGCTTAAAATGCTGTTTGATCCAAACAACAACCAGAAAAACAGTATAATACAAAGAAAAAAAAAACGGAGGGAAAAAGGAAAAATAACAAACCAGTGCTGAGGAAGACAAAGTAGACAGCAGTGTCCACCCCAGACATGGCTATGACATCACGTTCAGAAGAAGATGCTGCTTCCTTGATCCAAGAGAAGGGGTTGCGGGTCTTGTATCCACCTTCTGACGGATCCAACCCTTTGAGGATCCGGTTTGGGTAGTAAACCACATGGTTACCAGGTCTACTTGATAGCCATGCAAACAGAATCATCAAAACCAAGAATATCACAAAGGATGTCCCAAGGGACGTCAAGAACGATGAAAAATCCATCTGGGTCTCTCTCTCTCTCTCTCTCTAAAACACTCCCTTCAACCCAAGTTCCTCACTTTTGCCACATCCCACAAATAAACCGTTACTGGGTCACTGCTTCCATCATTCAATCTCAAAGCAACCGTTGCCACAGCTATTAATTGGTGTTTTAGGAACAGTTACGGAGCATATCAAAGGGTGTTGTTTTGTTTGTGTCTGTGAAGCAAATGGCAATAATTAACAAAGAAAGATGAAAAAGAGGCAGATATTGTGAGGATGGTGATTAGCAAAGGTGGTAGTTGATGTGGGGTACCTTAACGTTGTTGGAGTTCTTATAATCAATTAATGAAAGTGTGGATTTTTTAATTTTTATTTTTATTTTTTCGTTTACAGTTTGGAGAATGCGTTGCGTGGGAAGAAAGAGTGGGATGAGTGTGTGTGAGAGCGGAATTAATGGAAAACGGTGATGTTGAGGAAAGAGAGAGAGCTGTTGAAAAGGACAAAACTTTTTCATGTCCGTGTGTGAAGACACAGTGAATATGACAGATATATTCATAGTATTTATCCTAAGTACCAGTACTGCCCCTTCAATAATTGGTATGCCATTCTTCTTTTCATTTAGATTTTAACAATTTTTTTGGTATTTATTAGTTATTAGACATTTGTCGTTTTATTTTACGCAAAGGGTAAATCATGATAATAATCAATGCTCTTTCCATCGTAAAAAATCTCGAGTTATTTTATGAAATTAGTTGATATTTTGTTGATGGGTACTGAGAGTTTTGTGGCAGGAACTCTCGATGTAGATGTTAGGCTTTTTTTTTAATTCCTATCGATTATCAACTAGAAATAAACTATTTAGAGTCACCTTAATGCAAATAATTATTAAATTTTATATTACAAATTGTTATTATTACGTGTATAGGGGAAAAAATAAAAAACCTACTTCACGTGTTCTCCATGGGATTCTCAAGGAAGTCAAGAGATATTTTATTTTATGCGTTTTATTTTACACCAACCTTTCTCCATCAAAAGCTCAACTATTTGCTGTCCGTTATGTGTCGAGAAAGAAACAAGCAAAATAAAGTAATCATCTTTACATTCAAAATAGATAGTCATCAGGTCAATACTCGTAAAGCTATCTTTATTATTACTATATTGAAATTTTAATTATGATATTGTGATCATGCACACTTTTTTTCTGCATCCACATATTCAATTGTCAATTAAGATGAGCTAATTTGTACAGTATCTGAGGCAGTTAATCCTGGGTCATCTGAACGTGGATGATTGAAAAATATATATTTTATATTCCCACATTCACAACATGAAATCAATTCATCCATTTATTAATCTATAGTACCAGCATACTGGCTTAGTGCCAAGCACCCTTCTTGGTAAAAATTGTGTAAGAAATGGAGAAATAATTCACCAAATTGATTTAAAGTCTAGTAAAATTAATTTTGAATTGTTAAACATGATCAATATATATAAATATATATATATATATATATATATATATATTAAATGATATATTTTTATTGAAAAATACAAAGATTAATTTTATAAATCCAAACCAAATAAACTCAATAAGTTATATTAAACAATTAAAAGTAACACACTATTTAACATATTTTTAATTATTAATTGAAATTTATTGAAAAAATATTAATTTAAAAATAAGAAAGAGTAGGATATATATCATTTTAAATAAATTTTATTAAATAATTAAAAATATGTTAAAAATATATTTTCAATATTCCTGAATTATATTTCAAGGGTACAAAGTAGATGGCGTAGTTGGGATCTGCATTGACGGTTGTTTGTGTCATTATTAATCACTGTAGGTTGATTATATTACATTATTTGTGCAATTTGAGTTTGAGTGGAAAAGAAGCAAAGGAAAAATGTGAAGGGCATTATGATGTGAATGATGTGATTATAAGGAAAATGATAGAAGATGAAAGTAAGAGAAAGAGTGTCAGAAAATAAAAGAGGGGGATTACAGAAAGGGCATTTTGGTAATTTAAAGGAATTAAGGGTAACATTAGTTAACAGGTAATCAGGTATTGGTCGTCTTCTGCTGCTGCTTGCAGATTGATGATCAGAACCACGTTGCTGTCGACCAGCGTGTCTTTTACCCAAACAGTGAGGAAAAGCCATACGCGCATGACACGTGTCGGTGTGATATGGGACAGGTGGCGCATTAAAGTGTTGCCGACAGAGGGACACCGAAGAGAAAACGGAAGCGCAGAATGGATAAGATGTCATGTTATGCTATTGAAACTTTGAGACCATTGGAACCAAATTCTTTAGACAGAAAAAGAAGAAAAAAAATTCTTTACTTTGTTCCATTTTGAAATGGGGATGATATAATAGCACGTGAGGGAGGACAATGGCACGTGCCACCTAATCAGAGAAATGAAAATCGATGGTTTCGTGACAATGAAAGGAGTGTGGTAGGGCAGAGATTAGATGGACCCAGCCATGTTCACTCTATTAAATTTGAACACGCAGTGACCACGGCTGAAAGGATAAATTAGTAATATATTCTCTAATATAATTTTTTAATATATTTTTAATTATTAGTTAAAATTTATTAAAAATAAAAATATGAGTCCTACTATTCTTGTATATTAAAAAATTGGTTACTAATATTTTTCACAAAACATTTTATAATGAATAAAATTAAATTATAAATAAGAAGTATGGTTGGTGTTAATTTTTAATTAAAAATAAAAAATTTTATGATAATTTATATAATAAAAATTGACATTAAATATTATCATACAGGTGATAAAATTTAACATATTTTATTAAAATAAAACTTCTACTTTAATTTTTATTAGATATCAGTATCAATACTTATGATATTAAACTCAAGTCTCTGTCTTTTTCACGATGAAGCAATATGTATCTTATTTTCATGCTATTCCGCTTTATGCTTTTTATTTTTAAAATGTGTTTAAAGAACAGCAACTGCGAGTACAAACTCCGTTATTGAATCCAAAGATTAGAGAAAGAGGTGCTGAATGTTCCCTACTTTTAGTTAGCTTTTATTTCACGTTTAAAAACAAAGTAATATGCATGACAAACAATAGCCATTAGCGTTTTCTTTAATATGTTATGTAAAATTGTTTTAAAACCATTGATCACTAAGATTTTGAGCAAAGGAGTGGAGACTAATTTTTTTGGTCTCTCAGGCAAAAATGATCACTTCGACGTGGAATGATTAGACAAATAAATAGACTTTCTTTTTGATAAGTTGAACCCAAATAATATTCACAAGGCCCAAGGTCTATTTTCAAGACTAAAAGAAATGGCAAGAGTATGAAAAGTGAAGACAGAAATGCTAGTTAACGGCTTTAAAAAGGACATAAATGCAAGTACATCGATGAAAAACAAAATTTTAAGTTTTACTAACCATGAATACAATTGCTTATATTTTACTTCAACACGGTCAAATATTGATACTAAACAAACCAAACGTAAAGCACCAGCAGATCATGATTTGAAACCGAATGAAGCAGTAAACTACAATTTAATTTCAGTCTTCGAAGTGTCACGGTTTCATCTGATTTATAAAATTGATGGGCAGTAAATTCACACTCACCCAAAACTAGACCGGATGAACCACCCTGCTAAATCCTATTTCTTTCAAATTGAATAGTATTTGTAATACATTTTGTAATCACAGCGAATTTTCAACAAATACTAATCTATGTGAACCAAGTTTGAGAGTGGACAATGATACAAAGGTAATTGCAAATTGTCATCTAAAGTTACAACATCTTGCACGACCTCTTGACAATTTGTCCCAAAGACAGACCATTTGCCTTGGTGACTGATAATGTGCAGTGAAATAGCCCTCCATGCATCCATATTGACAAAACTTCCAGTTGTGGGAGTACTGAACAGCTGCCACAGTATTGTTAAATCTCTCAACCCACATTCCCATGCTTACATCCTCCATTTTAAAGAGCTGTCACCACAAACAAATGGATCAACAATCAATAATATGTACTGATAAAAGACCAAAAGGTCAGAGAATGAAGTTTATGGTTACAAACCCTCAGCTTCCTCTCCTTGTGTTGAGATATGATGAAAGTAACAATATCTCTTGAAATTATGTACGCAGGGCCATTTGCATAAGGAGGATATACTTCTTCAGGCCACTCCTGCACCAATTATCATAATCCGTGAGAGAAGAGGATTACAGATAATAATGCTTTATGCATTAAATTTTGCTATTTGCTGACTCCTAAGACAAGGGCAACCAAGGAAAGTAGAATTCTACTATATAATGCAAAAATAAAATAAAATAAACAATGAAATATTGCTCTTAACAGATTTCTCATATTAATCTATCAAAAACACAAATATCATTTGCGATCAAAAGTAGAGAGTCTAACACCATAGAGAAGAGCCCTGAATTCCAGATAAAATATATAAGTTCATAAATACATCCCTGTCCAAGCTAGTAGTTTAAGATTTAAATAGAGCTGGTACATAGGTATTAATGCAGAAGCTCTTCAGTTTTACCCCACCTTGTTTAAGATCAATTTTTATTTGCACAAGGGTCTGGGAATACACATGTAACTAAGAATCTAATCCCTATTTATAAGCTTCATTAAATGTGAAAAACTATCATTTCCATAACCAAACAGAAACGTAAACACTCACACGTATAACCTACAAAAGTTCAACTAAATGCAACAACTATCGTACCTCAAAAGTAACAGCCCATTTGCCATTTCTCAGAGGCCGATGCAAGAGATTGAGATTGCCCATATAGAGGGACTTTTTCTGGGGTGCAGCTTCAATTTCTTTTAAGACCGTATCCACCCTGATAAAAGTGTCATCATCACATTTCATGATATATGCAGCAGTCACATTTTGAATCTGCACAAAAGAAAGATTGACTTATATAACTGGAGAGAACAGAAAGAAAGTCTGGGAGCCACAAGTTGAATATCTTTAGGGAGGTGACAGACATTAGCTATGCTATTTATTTACCCCAACATGCATTAAAAAAAAAAAAAAAAGAAACATAAGAGCTTACTAAAGATTTAAAAATGAACTCACCCCAAACTCACAGATAGCCATGGTTTTAAGCACAACAAGCTCATAGCGGTCCATAAAGGGCAAAATGACAATATCACCAAAGAAAGCAGCTTCCTTCCTCAGCACTGCATTTACTTCCTTCCTTGGATTCTTCATGTTGTGATGTTTAGAAAACACAGAAAAACCATCCATATCATATCAATAAGAATAATAACAGTGAAAAAAAATACACAGAAAGTCCTTGAATTTCAAACTAAAAAACAACTGCCCATGGTTAAATAGGAAAAAAAGAATTTAAAAAAATAGTATTATATTTCATAGAATGATAGAACTGCATTATATCTACATTTATTTGAATTAGTTTATTACTCAGTCCATTGTGAAAAATATTGCTATTGGCGATAAATTATAGCCAAACAACCAATAAATGATGGTTACCATTCTTTGTAATATGAAAAATTTAGAAAAAGCTCAAGTTCTTGTGTCACTGACTTTGTGTTTATTTTATTTAAAAATCCCTTACATATCCAGGGAATGAAACAAATCCTAGCTTTTGTAACCTTAAGAAATTGCTAATCAAAATAAGCAGCAGCTCCAAATTCTATTTGCAGTATCCTTTTGATCAACAAATTGGAAGTCACAAAAGCCCCAGTTAGAGCTCAAACAAAATTTTGACATTGCCCCTTATCAAAGTACAAAATCTAACTGACACCATTTATCATTCCAGTCAAAGGCTAGAAATCAATTAATGCTCCTTTAGTATTTAAATCGATTCTTTTTCCCCGTGAACTTCCATAAAACAACCCCAGGAAGGACACATTTCTCTTCTCCAGTTCTCCAATAAATTCTTACTGCAATTCTATGGCATTCTTGGTATAATGTAGGACAATCCAAGAGTGATACTCTTGACAGGGTACTCCCCTACTAAACAAACCAAGAGCATTCATCTTGGCAGAATGTTCATCCAACTCAAAAATATCAGACATCTTTGTCTCTCTGAATGAAGGAAATTCAATGTCATATGATAAGCAAAAGCATATCAAATTCTTACATTGAAGTTTTATTAATAGACCAAACATCATAACAAGTTAGACCTATTCTAAGCTGGGATAAGATAATTCAAAATAGAATAGAATACCTAAATAACAAATAACAATAAATTATCTCAAATCAATAACCCTAATTGTGACAAAGAAATGCTAAATAAAATAATAAAACTATTTAATCCAAACTGCATCATGGTATCATGCATTTCTTCATGCTCATGCTAGATTGAAGTAAACTATATATGTTTCTATGGTAAATAAAAATAAAGCCAGCAGCCTTACCAACGCAACAAAGAATCGTACTACTACATCTGAAGACTTGATTGCAGATGCTTGCATCCATGTTTTTCGAACTGCCATACGCTCTGCAAAGTGATTTGAAGCAGAAAGAACTCCAATAAAAAGTCTTACAGCATGTTTAGGTAGGGCCCCAGCTTTCCAGGTCTCTGACATTTCAAGTACTCTTTGAGGTGAGAAACTTGGATGCGAAGTAGGGAGAGAAGTAGCAAATATTGAATGAACATCAAGGTCCCCTTTAACTGCCAATCCTGTAGCATCTTCAAGTGTAAAACCCTGAAGAAAGTCGACAAGAAAAATCAGCTGGACAAAATCTATAACCGCAGCAGCATGCATTATAGATTATGCAATTAATTCCAATTGTTCTTGAAGTTTAAGCCAAACATGGCCCTTTGACACATGATAAGAGTGATATCACCATCGGTATAAGTCATACTATGGCTCAGGGTACACCAAACACCAAAATTTTCTGCTACAGAATCCAACATAAATGCAAGAGGAACTCATCACCATGAAATGAATATGTTTTTTTTTAGTTTGTTAGAATGTTAAATATTACCATCTATGCTAGAATATACGGTCAACTATTTATTATGTCAATTAGCTAGTAATTAGGCAACTAGTAGCTGAAAATTAGGGTGTAACTTAGTTTCTAATATAACTCAATTACCCTCTTGATTATTTTATTGATTGATCATATTCAAGCTATAAAAAAGAGATCAACTGCAGCCAATTAACACAAATTTCTCTCAACGATTCTCTCTTTCAACTAAGACCAACATGTAAAATAAAGGAACAGCAACAAGAAACTTATACCCACGAATAATTATTATCATGTATAAGCTAATCATACAATTTCACCCCATCAAGATATTTAAAGCAAGTATAAGATGGAAACATCTGTCATGTCTCGATTAACTTACTGTCCGATATGGAAATGAAGTCATATGACGACCCCCAACATTAATATGGTATCCATCAACACCAGCACGCAGTGTAAGGACAAACATTCTACCCTCTGTAAAAGGAAATGGCCAGGTCACTTCTGGCTTCTGCTCACGCCCTATAAACCGCTTGAACCATGATGTTGTCTTGGACTCTTTTGAGTCTACAATGTCATTCCGCATCCATTTTTCACATCGTCTATACCCATCAACTGCCAAGCATAATCCAAAAATAGATTAAAGGATTACAGAACTTCATTATCATTATTGTAGATCCAATTTCATTCTTTACAAAATTATTATTGCACTACACTGTAAAATATTTAAACTGTCAAGAATTATTTTCTGCAAGCTTCCATAGTAATATTTATTAATAAACATCAACAGAAGATAATAACCCATATTGTAAAACATGAGGAGTTATATTAATTTATTATCTAGTCTCTTTAGTCAATATACTTGTGATTCTACAAATTTCTCATACATAGCTGCAAACTCATGGATATAAACTGGCGGACAAAATATGTTGTCAAGTTGATATTGTCTCAACATCCTTGGATTTTATATCAATGAAATCAAGAAATGGAAGCTTATATCTCTAAACCCTGCTTCATGTTACTAACCATTTAAGCAACAAGGCACTCTTCATGCTCATTTGTCTTCTATTTTTTTCCTTATACCATCAATTCCAATATTAATATATCCAATTACTTTTCTGTCTACTTTCCATTCTACATCATGACAATGGAACTCTATATTCTATACAGCAGTTCCCCAAACCCCAATATAGCACGCTTGAAAATTAATATGAAATATGATAAAATCATACCACGCATTGATTCATCATCCTCAGATGCCAAACCATCACATCTTTGAGCTGTTCCCCAGTGCATACGATAACACGTATTATGTTCAATAACTGGTCGTTTGCTCCAATCCCCTCTTAATCGAGGATTCAAGTGAAGAATCCTAGGAGGATCCTCCCCTTCCACTGACTTTAGCCCTTGTAACTCAACCACAAACTGTGAAACCGAAACCAACCCACTGCCTCTCTTCAACTTGCCAAGCATGGAAACATATTCCTTATGAGCATAATGGGGTGTCCCCACCAAAGTGATTGAAGAACCAGCAGCAAGACCACAAGGAAGGAACATCAAACCATCCCCTTTCAACAAATCTTCCCCACCTAATGATATCCAAGAAGGACATGACTCGGGCTTTCCTTCAATAACAGAACTTTCTCCATCCTCCACCTCATCAACCCTGTCTAATTCACTCCAAGCCTTCAACCCCAATGTCCATGCCTCATCTGCCATTCTCTCAAGCACAGACAAATCACCAGTTCTATTCCTTTGCCGCAAGATTGCCCCGGTAATCCTACCATATCCCTGTGGAATCTGCTTCATAGATTCATTAGCATGATCTTCCTCCTTCATTGGTTCCTTGTTTGGCCTCAACGGAGCATCCTGGTCCCTATTATCTTCTAACCTTCGATGAAATGCATCTTTATAAACAGAACTAACAAAGGGTTTGCTTAAATCTGCATCTTCAGTGTCCCCAATAGCTATCCTATCCAAACCCTCGTAACTCTCATCCCCACTTAACGATGATACAATTTTCATAAACTGTGAAAAATTACACGATATAAAAACCAAGTACAACACCACAACACCAAACAAAAAATGAGACAACCTAAACCTCCTCGAATTGGGAGCTTCACTCTTCAGTCTCTTCATCATCTTCAGGAAAAAAAAAAAGGGAAAAGAAAAACAATGTATTCTACAACAATCCCCTCAAAAAACCCATAAACAAAACCAAAACTTGAAAGCAAACCAACGTCCAAAGCTTCCAAAGAAAACGACGTGGCAACGTGTCAGAGAACGGTAGGTGGGTTTTGAGGGCAAGAATGAAAAGATTCAAACTGGCATTTAGAAGAGGGAAAAGGAAATCAACCAATGCAACAATGATTCAACACATTGCCACCAAAGGCACGGAACCCTGAACGTTTCAACATCTGCAAAAACCTCGATCGGAACAGAGAACCCTAATAAATGGAAAGGGGTGAAGGATGCGATGAGTGGGAAGGTCAGTAACCGGGAAATTACAAGCACGGTTGGGTGATTTTGAGTGTGGGGAATTGTGGATCATCACCCTTAACCCTGTTAATACTACTACTAGAAAAAGATAATTCTGCTTTTTAAGTTTCATTCTTAAGAAGGGTATCAACAATTTGGTGGGGCTTTATTATTATTAATTTTTTAAAATATAATGAATGATAAATTCCTTTAAGAACAATAAATAGTAATAAATAAAGGGAATATGGTTGGTTTAGAGTTTGTTTAAAAAATTAATTAAAAAATATTGAATATGATTAAAGTTTGTGTTTAAATTAATTTTAATTAGAAATTTAGAACAAGTGTTTTTTTTTAGTTGTTGGGGAGGGAATTCTTAAGAAGTTAAAACAGGTATTATTCTTACTGATTGTACGATGTTTATGACACTTTGTAAGATTCTAACTCAATTTCTCTCTTTTTCTTTAATTTTGTTCCCTTCTATTAAAATAAAAAATCATATTGAATTGACTGCGTTGTTTGGGTAACTGATCTTGTTAATTAAAAAATCATCAGAATACATATATGGTATCTGTATTAAAATTTAAAACATTATTATTTATTGTGATTTTTTTTATGTTTGTGATCATGTTATGTTAATTGAATTTATATATTTTTATCAGTTTATTATATCATCTCTTAAACAATATTAAGAAATCTATATTTTTATGATTATCAATTTAATTGTCCTTCAATTATTACTAAATTAATAAATTATGTATGATATTTTTATTGATTTAACAGCGGTTTCAAATTTTAAAATATTACTATCTTTGTCTTTAAAAAATAAATTTTTAATTAATTGTTTAAATAATAGTTATTTAACAATTTTAAAGTACATTTATATATTTTTTTCTTTTGTTGTATAAACAAATTTTGAAATGAATATAATAAAAATGTTCATAATATTTTTGATAAAAATAAGACAATTAAATGTATTTTTAATTTCTGTATTATAACTTTAAATAACTATGTTTAAAGATTGAGGAAGCATTTTTTTTATTTATTTAAAAGTGCATAAGACAAAATAGTTTGCTAATTTTAAAATAGTTTGAGCGTGTGTGGATAACGGAATTGAATTGCGAAATCAAAATGAACAATTTTAAGTAAATAATTATTTTGATATGTGAAAACGTGAATGCAGATCTTTTAATTTATAAATGAACAAAAAACGATGAAAAGAGCGATGAAAATATTGTCAAAAATAAACTATGAGCTGTTTTAGGTCCTAGGTCGGCACCAATTATTTAATGTTAATAGACGTGTATATGTGTCACATTTAGTGATCTCTTTGTACATGTAATAGAATTAATTTTATTATTCTCAAGATAACTCTCAAGAATCACACATAAAAGCAGTTTTAACTTTTTATTATTCTTTTACTTTGCCTAAAGACTAACCATAAGGAAATATCTGTTAAAAATTTTATTGCCTTACGATGTCAAACAAAATAAAATTTATTTATAAATATAAACTATTCTATAAATTTATTTGATTATATTTAATGTTTATCTAATTTAACAAAAAATAAATAAAACAGTAAATACTCATAATTTAATAATTAAATCGTTAAAACATGTTTTCTATAGAATTATTGAATAATAAAAATATTAAATTTTATATCAATATAAGTCAATTTTTAACAATTATTAAAAAAACATTTCAAACATGTTTTTCTCTTTTATCATTTTTATGAGTTTACAAACAAGTTTGGTTCGATGAGATGATTATTGCCTTTTTAATCCACAATAATTGTAATTTTAGGAATTATTTGTCAATTATTGAAAATTTCAATTATTCAGTTAAAGAAAAAAATTAAGAGAGAGAAAGTAAGAAATGACGTCTTAAAAATATTATTGAAGTATCTTTTTACTAGTTTTTAAATTTTAAATATATATCTTCTCCTACATTTCTTTATTTTCGATCTCAAATAAACATGGCATAAGTCGTGTAAAAAAGCATGTGGACAACACATTTATTTGGGAAAGAAGTAAAATATTTATATTGAAAATGGATGTTATTACAATTGATTTTTTATAATTTTGTCTATTTATTAATAAATATTTATAAATTTTAATTAAATTGTAATAAAAAATTTTAAAAATTAAAATCTTAATAAAAATTATAAAAACACATAATTAATTCGTAAATAAATAAATTTTTAAATATTATTTTTGTTCATGAGACTGTTTTATCAATTATTTTATCTTTAATTTTACAAAAGATATACATTAACAGTATTTTAATTTCTGTTTTAAAAATATTTTTTTGTTTATATTATATTTTTAAAACATAAATTAAATATATTTTAAATATTTAATCTTTAAATTTTTATTTAAGTCTTCTCTTATTATAGTAAAAATTAAATTGTTTAATTGAAATTTACTTAAATAAATTTTATAAAATAACAAAGAGAATGTGTAAAATTTGTTTAAATCAATAAAGTTCATTTAAACCAAATTGTCAACATATACAAATCTAAAAGAGGAAAATAAAGAAGAAGTTGATTGGTTGAGAGGTGTTTTAAATAAGTTGAAAGATAATACAAAGAATTTGAAGAGAAAAATAAAGAGTTCCTTTCTCAAATGAATTATTACAAAAATGATGTTCGATGAAATGGTGTTTGAGAAGGATAGAATCAGAAAGAAAGTGGATAACTTGAAGTTGGAAATCTTAGAAAATGAAGGAATGATTGAAATAATTGTAATTAAGTTAGAACAAATAAAAAATGTAGGTGAGAAACATAGTGAAAAAATCTACACGATGTTTGAATGTTGTGCAAATATTTTGATGAAGAAATAGTGCATTGTATGATAGTTTCGTGGAGACACAACGTGAGTATAATGATTTAGAAACAAAGGTTGAGTTTTGGTGTACTAATTCAAGCAAAATTAAGTTTTGAATAAGAGGAAAGTTTTAAACTTTATTATTCTAAATTTCTGAAAGTGATTATCACTTGTTAGTAAAGGAAAAACTATTTTATTAACTGATTGGGATCTAAACCCATGAAATTGCATTAACTAGCATGATTATATTTTTGTCTTTTTATTTTTTTGTCTAAGTATTTATTTATTTTTCTATATATATGAGTTTTGAATTTTCTTTGAACTCTCTCTAATAATATATGTTTTGCTTATAAAAAAAAAAAATTCAAGTAAGGTCCTAACAATGTTAAAGGGTCTTGCTGCACTTGTGTCAATATAAGGAGAGAGGAAAAAATGATATCCAAATAGAAGTTTGTGAAAAGGAAAAATTCAACTATATGTTAAAAAATAGTAGAACAAATTAAGAACTCAATTGTTGTTAGAGATCGAGCCATGAGATATGTTCGAAGGGCAAGTGTACCCCTCGAGAAGTAATAAAGGGTTTTTAAATTAAGTTCCCTAAATATCGTCTCACAAGGATTGATTTCCAATTACTAAAAATTTTCTAATTCAATTGTTTAAGGTTCAAAGATACGAGATTAATTAAAAACAATAATTTATAAAATCAATTATAAAACTACGAGCAAAGAATATAATGCACGTCTTGGTTAAACTTATCAAAGAAGAACCTAAGGCATATGGGTTTTCTCATTCAATCCTTTATGTTATTTTTCTGGTTAACTCTAAATCCAATTTCTTTGTGATTACCAATCATTCATACAAATACTATTAATACTCAATGGTCATGCAAGACATCAATTTAAGAAAGCTTAAAGAACCTATGAACTTGTTAAGTTAATAATGATTAGAAGAGAAAGATTGGTTTGGTCCACCTAATCATTTATTTCGTTTTATCTTATAGATCTATTAATTAATCGACGTAAGGTCGCCTGACGATATAATTAATTATGATTAAGAAAGAAGTGCAATAAGATAAGCGGAAATCAAATTTAGATTCAAATATCAAAATTTCATAAATTAATGAACAATAGTTCTCATAGCCCTAGCTATGGACTTAGTTACTCATGCTAAAGAAAAGAACTAAAATAATCATAAACAAAGTCATAATAAAAAAAAATAGCAAACTAGAATATGAAATGTGTTTCCGGTCTTCAAGTACGATCGCTTGAAGCTCCAAGTCTCGCTAAGCATGTGCCAAGGATCCCGTACAAGAGAAAGACGAGATGAAAAGTGTATTCGAAAGCCAAAGACTATATGTAAAAAAATGGTCTCTAATGGTGCCTCAGGTCTTCCTTTTTATAGGATTTGAAAACCCTAAAAACTCTTTATAATTGAGCTTCCCGCAGATGAACACGGTCGTGCAAGGCCTTAAGTATGATCGTGCATAGGCTCGCAGCACCTGTGCTTATTGAATGGGTCTGAGCGTGCTGACTCTTGTGAATCTTTAATCTTCCATCAATTTGGGCTTAGAATGCACCAAACATCTACTTGCGGCCTCTTTATACCAAACTACATAATTAATATATAAATTAGTGTAAAAACCAAATAAAAAAATAAAGGTCAAATATGAATATATGAGTTGTAAAAGAGGACCTAATTACAAACTTATCAAGATACATGTTTTAGACTTGAAATAACAATTAACAATGCTTATTTATTTCTTTTTTTATCTTAAATTTACTTAAATAATTTTTTTTTATTTAAGAAATTTTTATAATTCTTTTATAAGATTTATTTTCATCTAAATAAATATTGACTAGAATAAAAAATTCAAATTTTCTAATTTTTTGTGAAAAATAAAATATATATTTAATAATGATCAATTATTTTAAGTATTGACATTAACATACTAAGTTAATTGGATTCTTTGTTTTAGAGTGTATCAGGGATTAAATAGACTGATGCATGAAGTTAATTAATTATTGATGTTAATTTTCATGACAAATATCATATTAATAAAACTTTAACATATATAATTATTTTATAGATTGTTTATTTTAATATTTTTTATTTTTAATTTGTGTTAAAAAATTACTTTATAAATAAAAATTAATTTTTAAAATTTTTTAAAAATAAAATATATAATTTTGAAGACTAATTTAATTTAATTTTATACAAATTATAAATATTATACAAGCCAACGTAAAGCTTGTTTTACACGCAACGAGTGGCGGTGAATATAACTATAAATATGTCCTCCTTTCTAAAGACGCGCTAAGTAAGGAAAAGAAAGAGTTTAGGTTGGGAATTGGGGATTAGGGTTTTGAGCGAAGATGATAGAGGTGGTGTTGAACGATCGATTGGGGAAGAAGGTGCGTGTGAAGTGCAACGACGATGACACAATCGGCGACTTGAAGAAGCTGGTGGCGGCACAGACCGGCACGAGAGCCGACAAGATCCGCATCCAGAAGTGGTATACAATCTACAAGGATCACATCACTCTCAAGGATTACGAGATCCACGATGGCATGGGTCTCGAACTCTACTACAATTAAGCTCAAGGTCATTTCATTTCATTTCATTTTCCCTTTTTCTAATCTTCGTTATGGTTTTTTTTCCTTGATAATGGAGTTTTCCTTTTTACGGTTGTCTAGCCCTTGAGGGTCATTCCATTCGTGTTTCTGCAATCAATTTCTGCGCTGGGCTTCTTTACTTGTCCAAGTTTGAATTTTTTTTCTTTTATGATTTTCCCTCATGGGATTTCACGTGTTTCAAAAATAAAAAATTAAATTTTATTGGAAAAGAAAGGATTTTAACGTGATAAATGCTTTTCCTTATTAAAAGTTTACCAATTTTAGATGTTTAAAATCAGGTATCTTTAAGGATTGATGGAAGCAAAATGGTTCATTATTTCTTAAAGAAATATTTGTCATGAGCTGTTAACTCAATATTCGAGTTGGACAATGACATCATATATTCGTATTTTTTTCAGGTGTGTTTTTATGCATCTACTATATGCTGGGAATGGGATAAGCGCAGAATGTCATTTTGACTCGCAAAAGTCCCCTTGATTTGAATAATGTACATTTCCCCTTGATGATATGGGTTTAATATACCGTTGACACCTTTATGGGTACTCTGTTGTCACCTATATATACGATGACTTCTTTCTAGGTTCATTTGGATGCGGTGTTTCTTGTAGAGTCTTTCTATTCAATACGATGGGTGAAGCTTTTGATTGTGCCAATTGCTTTTAAAATTATATGGTCATTGATCATCTGGTTTTCGTTACTTCAATCGACTGAACAATGGTTGTGAGGGCTTAATCGAAAGTTCACGGTGGCTTACTAGTTTAACGCGTTTAAAATTTATATGATGTTTCGATGCGCTTAAGTTTTGTCCCTAAAATGGGGTGGAAATTTATTTTCCATGTGCCTTAATTTGCCTCAGATTGTCGCTGATTTGTGTGATAGATTTGACTCGATCAATCCCTAAAATGCTGTTTCAATACACATGAATGAAGTCAATCATATGTAGAACAGGACCAAAATACTTTAATTTTTTTGGTTTCTCATATTTATTTTCGCAAACATGATTATAAGTTGCGTATCATATATGGTAGTTTGAATTGATAAATATTATACTATTTATTCTAAATTCTACTTTTTATGATTCATTTGATTCTTTACGGGTTGGTACTTGGTTATTTGCTATGATAAATTGAGGAAACAGTATCTGATCAGATAGCTGCTTCAGCGGCTGCTGAAAAAATATTTCCTTTTAACTGGTGACTATCCTACAGCTGTTTCTTTTCGATGATTCTTTACACTCTGGGAATAATATTTCTACGTTGTGGCCAGAAAATAATTCGTTGATAATCTGACCGATATTTAATTGACATTCCAAAACAAAAGTACTTCAGGTAAAGTAAATTGTAACCTAATTTTATAACCACAAACCTGAAGAAGAATTCGTGACTCGGTTTGTAGTTTTAATTATTTTTTTCCTTCATAGCAGTTACTCGTTAAGTGGGGTTGATATTTTAGGACATCACATGGCGCAAGTAACATTTCATTCAATTTTAGATTTTTTTATAGCCTTACATTGAATTTGTAGTCAAATTCACATGTTTAACAGGTCTCGCTCTATTAAGGACCAGAGCTTCTACTCAGTTTGTAGCTGCTTATGGATGGGTGATTCTTGAAACTGATGCTCAATTTTAAAAATTTAAGACATGGTAATACTATTTTGACTTTGGAATAAGCAAAATTTACTATGTGACGAATAATTAATTCATTACTGAGCATTCGGTCTCGGACAAGCTCAGTAATTAACTACAGACTCGCAGGATCTTTACTATTTTAATGGTAGTTCATACTAATTAAACCAAATGCGATTGCCAACTTCATCCGCATTGTGTAACCACAAAATCTGTCTATGGGTTTGTGCCGGGCAAGCTTCATTTTCGATCTTAATTCCTTACACTGTTTGGATGGAATTTGGGGGGAGGGAAGGAACTAGAGAAGTTAAAAGCTTCCTTAATTTGGATGCATGGGGAGAGGGGAGGAAGGGATTTTATTTGAGTCCCATAACAAAATAAAAAATTTAGAAGTGAATTGTGTATTTATCGGGGGCAGGGTGGCGCGTGTGGCATTGCCAATTCTTGTGTTAGATATATTATTTACAACATCTTGTTCTGAGCAAAGCCTTATTTTAGAAGGGCGTCGTAACTTGTAAGCGAAGATGTCTTGGTGCATGAGGTGGCGCGTGTCGCCGCACACTCTGAACCGATGAGCTTCCCGGCGATCAGGTTATGGTTTATATGGATTCGTTGGGTCGGGAACGTGAGGTCGTGAGGTGTTGGGTTTGGATTTAATAAGGTGTGGCGCATGGTAAGTGAGGGAGTATGCGAGTATGTTGATCATCGCACCAAGATTAAAATTACGTATCCTCCGGGAGGTTCTGTTGAATCAAAACGTCTATTTCTAATACAAAACAATTAGCTTCTTGAAAAGGTAATTTTGTTATTTTTTAAAAATTAATCAATACAACTATTTGGTGGGTTTTAGTTTTTTTACATCAGATAATCTTCAAGGACTCAATTATTTGATATCTCATGTTAAAATTGTTCAGGATACTGGTGTGTGGACTGGATAGGAGACAAATGGCAGAATCTTATTTTATTGAAAGTGGAATGAAGTATGTTTCCCGGTAACCACCTTGTACGGTTAAAACAGCATTTGATTAACAAAAATATATTCTGCCTTCAGTTGATTAATTTAAAAACTCATGCTGTTCTACTCTGTTACAATTCTTTGTTTATAGGCAGAAAGTTCTAAAATTGGTTGGTCATATACTCAAAATACAATAAAGTGTACTACAAAGAAAGATAGAAAGAAGAGAGAAAAATATAAGATAAGATGGCTGATATAATAAAGAAATAGAATTAGTGTTGTATAAAATGTTGAATGAATGATAACTCTACACTGTGTGTAAAATAATATAACTCAATACTAAATGTAAAATACATATATTATCATTGCTTCTCCGCTCTGGATGTGTGGGTTTGTAGTTTTGTATTTACAGTGTCCTGTGTCATCTTCCTATCTACCTAAGCGACATGCAACTTCTGCATGCTGCCATATCTTAGTTTTCAGAGCCACCCTAGGAGCCTCAATTAGAAGTGCACCATTGTCACCCCTAAGGACTGAATAGATCTAAAACATTGACATTATACAACCTCTCTCAACTAAAGTGATCCAAGAAAGCACGGAACATAATGTTGAGGACATGCTGTTATCAGAAAACCGCAACACCAAAAGGATCATGGCCACAATTCCTCCTGTCAGCCACAGACTACTGTAAGAAATGTGAGAATAACACTGAATTTTTTTGTACTAATACGCTATTCTACCAACAATTTGACTGTGAAGTTATATATACAACCACATTTGGATATTAAAAAATAAAATGTGTAGCAGAAGAAAGCAGATTATCTCCACTCACTTGAGCTATATGAAGTTCATGGAACCCCCTCAACCACTTTCATGATTTGGTTTTCCATTCAAACTGGATGATGGTGTCTTTGCATCACTGCCATTTGATTCTTTTGGGTTGCAACGCTCTGACCTTTTTCTAAAGCCAAACCCTTTTGGAAAAATGCTCCAACTTCTCTTTGTTTTTGTAAGTTTCTGCAGCTCATTTCGAATACTTGAGCATTCCTTCTCCAGCTCCAAAAGACGTCCCCTCAAGTTTTCATTTCCCTCTGCAGAGTCCAGTTGACAAGTACTATTGTTTCTATTGTGGTTTTGTGTGTTCGCAAGATTCTCAGAAACAAAGAACCAGCCAGATATTGATGTACGGAGTCTAAGCTGTTCAAAGAACAGGACTTGAACTATTACTCGGAGAGGTAATCTTTCATTTTGTGCTGCATGTGTGCTGGCTTCCAATGAGAGCTTTTGACAGTTCATCAATCTGCAAAGTTGCTCCCGTTCAGAATCCGTCAGCCATGGATGTACCTGTAGTTTTTGTAGAGTTTTACGTTAGAATTATCATATTTGAAACAGTTGGGCACAGAAGAAAATAATAGTGTTGAAACAGTACTTGACTGTGAGATCTTGATACTAAATCTGTGAGGCATTTGGATATTTAATATTGGGATGAAAGAAAAAGCTGTTTGCGTTCCATATTTTCCAAATTGGAGGGAATGAAAAAGAGTGAGTTGGATGAAATGCAATTTAATGTATGTCATCGTGTTCTATTGCATTTTACTCTAGTCAATCTTTTTCTATCAATCCAAACATAGCCTGAAAGATTCAATCACTGTAGATTAGTTAAGCATTCTTTTTCTTTGTCATAGACTTCTTATTTTATATTTATACTCTTTCTCAATATATCTATGATAAGGTAGTAAACATCATTTTGTACTAGTTCAGTTTATCATTGTCTTCCTAAATTTCAGTTCTTTTTCGTTATTTTGAAATCGATATACCAAATCGCCTAGTAAATCGGAAGCACAAGACAGGGATGTAGCTATCCAGAATGATCTAACCTTAAGGTATACATCTATTGCATGGTATATACCATCATCAAGTGGCCTAGCATAATCTGGAATTGCAACAGCAAGTGCCTGAAACTTTGTCAAGTTCAAATTAGCATCTGAAGCCACCTCAGCAAGATATCCATCAATCAAATTTGCCACCATTGTCATTGGTGTCAATGCATCAGCCCCAGCTATCAATGCCCCCTCTTCAAGTATGCACGGAGAAGCTGAAACGGATGCTGGCTGGTATATAGACACAAAATGATCAAGAATCCTCTGAATGCAGTCTATGTCATAGAGGGTCTCACCCGAGTATCCCATATTTGGAATGAGAAGATCCGCAAGTGCCGCCTGGTCTAGTTGAGCTCCTACCCTTTTCTCCAAATTTTCTCTACACGATGGACTTGCATGTAATATCATGGCTGTGCGGAGCAGCCTGAGCAGATGCTTGGAGAATGTGACCCCTCTCTTATTAGGAATCAACTCCACAATTTCTTCTAGTAGAGCCCTTTGGTCTGCTTCAGAAGTTGTAGGAATGCTCGAATGATTTGTATCGGTGAAGCTTGATTGCCTATTCATCAAGGGGAGAAACCTCCTAAGATAATATATAAGAGATGCAGCAACATTCTCAGATTTCATTCCTTTTGCTTCAATGCATATAATCAGTCGTTTGTATAGGGGTAAACTTAACAAAGATACATCATAAAACCACCAGTCATCACATTGGGATGGTAGCTCAGAAGAAATTCCATTCCATAACACATGGTTTGCTTGATTTTGCATGCAAGTACGTCCAGCCACAGGCCAGTTGAATAAGTTTGGATCTGAACAAGCCTTCATAGCCAAAGAATCAATGCATCTAGAAACTATATGAAGTTCTTCTGCAAAGGGTTGCACTTCCTCACATGTTTCAAGGGCTTTTATGGAATCTGGCCAATTGCTGAAAATTTCATTGAGAAAAGCCTCAGTATGTGCAATGAGGTTCCCTTCACCATAGTTTTCAGTCATTTGGAGGTATTCAGCTGCACATCTGAGGCTTACTACATCTAATGCTGTGACTTCTATTTTTACACCATAACAAAACTTGGCTATAAGCTCAAATGTTTTGGCTCCCCCAGGAACATCATGAAGCTGCAAAACACAACTTGATCCATCCTCCTTTGAGGACTCTGCAATGAGTTTCTTCAGTAGCCCACTTCTGGAAAGCAATGGAAACTGCATCAAAATCACAAAAACATGAAAAAACCTTCAAAGTCATAAAAGTTATATCAAAACAGAATGCATGCAATATGTCAAATCAAAACAAGCACCTTATGGAGGAGAAAAGATATTTCGCCAACTTCGATGGTAACATCACTAGGAAGTCCTGTTGTACAAACCCTGAATGTAGAACAAAATTAGATCCAAAAATTAGGGGCAAATTTGCAGATTAAAGTGCAATATATATATATATATATATATATATATATATCCACCACCCAAAAAGATCAATGAATGCAAGGTTCTCTTTTTATTTGGGAACGTTAATTAAGAATTAACAAAAGGTTAATGGGATGAAGAATGGTCACCATGTTTGGGCATCTCGACGAAAAGCTTCAGGCTTTGATCCGAGCTTCATGAATGCCATTATATGATATATATGTTTAACTGCAATGGCAAATTGTTGTTTGAAATTGAGACAAATGCAAAAGAAAAGGGTAAAGAGAGTGATGATGATGGTGGACGCACAAGTAGCGAGTCTAAAGCCTAGTAACTGAAAGAGCGACAAAAACGGTTAACGTAGCTATCTCCAAATTCCGTTTGAGTTGTATCTCTTTCTCTTTCATCCGATAATTAAGTTAGCATTAAGCAATAGCATGCATATAATATCTTTATTTATTCATTTAAACGTTATTTGCATACAATACAATACATGAAATTCCTCACATACACGACAATTATAGCATAAGGTTAAGATGGGACATTATGAGGAAATAACGTCCACGCCATGACAAATTCTATGGAGCAACCAAGGTATCATTCTCTCACTCTCATCTTCTCCCTTAAAATCACATGGCTCGTTCCATTAGTTTTTCTAAAATTTAAATTTTATATAGTTTTAGATTTTTTAAGTTAATTAATTTTTTAATTAAATACATACAACATCTTTAATAATTTTATTTTTTTACTGTAAAAATTTATAAAATTAAATTAATTAAATCATCTTTTAGTTATAATATCAATCAACACATCAAATTTTAACTTAAATGTAAAAAAAATTGGTGAAAAAAAAAACTTTTTTCTTTATCTCATTTCTTATAAGTTTTTCATAATTTTTTTACTTTTAAAATTATTTTATATCTCAAATCCATTGTAATCTCTTTACTCTTTTAAATAATAACAATAATAATTTTGAAATAAAAAGACTTGATTAACGTTAAAAAAATTTTAAAAGAATCAAAATTACACATAATTTAAATAAAAAAGAGCTCAAAAAATTTTTACCATTAAATTTTTATTTTTAATATAAAATATTATAACATTGTTTTTAAATAGAACTATTAAATTCATTTCAAAAAATTAATTCATTATCAAATTTGACATTTTCATCATTAAACAATTATTAGGTTTGGCACGTCAGTTTTACGGAAAGAAAAAGAGTGTGTTTGGATGGAATTAATTTGGATATTTATTTAAAAAATAAAAAAACTTTTTATTTTTGTTTAAATAATTTTAGAAAATCGAGCATATAATATTTGATTAATTTTTTTACAAAGAAAATAACTTATTTAAGATAAACAAAATTTTGAAACTTATGATTAAAAAATATCACCTTATTTTTTAATTAAAATTTTAAATACAATACTAAGTATTATATAATAATTTATATCTTTTTTTATAATTTTAACTTAAAAAATAATTATTTCATACCATCTAAACACAGTTAATTATTTTAAAATTACTGATAAGAAGGAAAAGGAGAAAAAATGATAAGGAACGATGGCAGAAGTAAAGGCATGCCATACCAGACACTGCTTAGATAATTGTTAGTGTCTCCCTCTTTGCCACGGCAACTCTCTCTCTCTCTCTCTGTGTGTGTCTCTCCCTCTCTCTGCCTTTTCCAATTTTTCTCTTCACCGTAGCCATCATATACGACGTGATTTCGGTTGAAGTTTCAGGTTAAGCTCATGGCTTCCATTCATGCCAATCTTGTGGCTAACTTATCTTTCAATCACTTCCAGGTTAGCATTCAAAGTTCTACTTTTTATCTTCTGGGTTGCTTCCCTCTTCTTTCTTATGTTGCACTTTACATTTACTCTATTAAAAAATAAATAAATCAATTTTGAAGTGAATCTGAAAAATTACACATTTTTCATGCTCCCGCTCCCATTTTTGTTTAAAGTAATTTCATTATGCTTTTATTGTATGTAATATGGGGCTAATTTGTAGCATACAATGGTTGAAACATGAAACCCGATAGACATCATCGTACCTGGTTGGTGCTGGTACTTTGCAACATAGAGTTGGTTTGAGCAATTCTAGAAGGAGAGTTTCTTCACATAGTTGTATAATAAAGTGTGAAAAGAAAGATGATGAATACATTGAGCATGTATCAGTTGAGCGTCCACCCTACTATAGTTACATGGACTCCACCTCTGGCCAGCTTGAGCCGGCTTCCGGCGCTAGAGCAAGTATTCCTGATCAAGAGTATTGGCCTGAAGGAACTGCTAGTCGTGTTAGGGCTGCGAGGGCACCGGCTCCTACTGGTGAATCATCAACCTCTCCATCTTATGGAGCCAAGCCTGGGAGTAGGAGGAAGAGTTACAAAGCAGCTGTTCCTGCTTCTGCTTCGTCCTCTGAGCCGATTGTTGAGTCAACTGGCGCTAGTTCCTCTGAGGCTTTGGTAGAATCCATGGATGAGTCCCAGGATTACTCGTCTGAGTATGTTGTTTATCAGTCTGAACCGGAGGAAGATGAGTTGAGTGAATATGAACTTGATAAGAAACTTGGACGGCCTCATGCATTTATTGACCCAAAAGTTAGAAAACCGATAGAGGGAACGCTTCCAAATGACGAACTATGGTGGAATTGGAAAGAGCAGGAGAAAGAACAATGGTCCAGGTGGCAAAGGAGGAAACCTGATGTTGAAACGGTTAGTGTGCATTCATTGGTTTTGTGATTTATGATTTGAATTTATTTTATGTATGAATTAATTTGCCCCAATCAGTTTATGGATTAAAGGGTCATGTGGCCATTTTTTCTTTTTTATTTGGGCAATCTGGCTAAAAACTGAAGAGGCTATAAGGATTTGGGTCATAAAATCATTTTCTTGTACCAAGATGCTCTTAGCCCCCATGTTAGATACAAATTATTACATGGTTTCGTTCATCAGACCAGAGGGCTTCAAGGCAATAAATGTTGAAGTCATAAATTCCACTTTTGATAATTAAGTCTGGTGTCTTGAGGCTGAACTTCTCTGCCATTTTTCAGGTTTTCCTGAAAGCTATGGCAGAAACTGGGCAAATAAAGCTTCATGGTGAACATCCAACATTGGCAGAAACTGCTCTTTACCGAGCAAGGCGCCATCTGTATAAAGAAGAAAGGTATTCTTGATGAATCCTAGCAACATGGTTCTGATAGGCCTATAAAGTAGTGTTTTTTATTGCATTCTTACTGTAAAATGTACATGAACTGTAAACAAGAAACTAAATAGAAAGGTCAAACAGCAGTTGCTGAAGATTTAAAAATTTCTGAAAGGACTAAGAAAAGGCATGAGAATAGTTTGTGAAGAAGACTACTTGACACAATTCACATCATGAATAAAGAGGATTAACCTAATAAAGTTTCACTGCACAGACCAAATGTATGCTGCTCCAAGTTTATGTAGGCCCCTCCATTAAAATATAAACTGACTTAAAAATTTAATGTATTTTATAATAAACTGACTTAAAAAGATATCAGTCAATATGCTTCCTTTATTTAAAAGTTCAAAATTTGAGTTTTGCTTCCTAGTTAATATGTTGTGAAAGAAAATATAGTCCCTAAAGGACAAACTCCAATTTTTGGTTAAGTGACAGTTTCCAGGGCGCTCAAAAGTTAGGGATAGAAACCATTCTCTAGGCATGTGGATGCAAGACTCTTTCAAGATCAATATGTATTTTTTCAAAAGAAAAAAAGAAAATACACTGTTTGCTTTTTATTCAAAAAAATAAAAAAATGGCATTGTCAGATCTAGGAAAATATTGAGAAAACCTATCTAATTTTAGAGTGCTTAAGCACGAGTGTATAAAGTTAAATTTAATTTTCATATTTGTAAAATTCATATATCAAAATTAATTTTAAAATCAAAATCACTTGCACATAAATAGACACAAAAGAAGTTCTGGATTTATCATATCTTTTGCAATAATTGCTTTAAATCAGGAAAATGTTGATTTTAAATGCTTCCTGTATTATTTTGCCTCACATAATTGAATCTGTGAAAAAAAAAAGCTACTGATTGTTTCAGGCTTCAGGCTGAGCAAGAGAGACTGGAAAAGATTGGTCCCATTGCATACTATTCAGAATGGGTGAAAGCATGGAAGGGGGACATGTCACACGAAGCTATTCAGAAGCATTTTGAAGAGACCGGTGAAGATGAAAATACTCAAATGATTGAAATGTTTTGCCACCAAACTGATCGAGAGTATCGCATAATGATGGGGACTGATACACGTATCCAAAGGGATCCTTTAGCAATGCGAATGAGGGAGGATCAAATAAAGCAAAGTATTGACTTTAAAAATTAAATATGTGTGCCATTTCTGTGTCTTTTAATTCTTCAGTCATCTTATGTCGTATTGCCATTCTTCTTATTTTTAATGATTCTAAAATTATTCAACTTTATTTAGCATTGTTTGTTAAAGGACATGATGAGAACCTTAGAAGAACTATGCCACTAAAGTTAGGCATTGTAGTTAGAGAGTTCAAGGTGTTGTAAACCTTACACTAGAATCTCATATTTTCAATGTGGGATTCAAGATTCCATACCTTGTATTGAATTCTAACATCCCATCATGCTCTGTAGTCCCAACATTCACGTGGGCTAGTTGTGTACTAGTGCCTTGATTAGCTTAGACGAACACTAAAATGTTGGCATTACCACCTGTACCATTTGTTTTCAATTGAGAGATACAGTAGAAGAATCTGATACTAATTGAGAAAAACCTCAAAAGAACTATAACACAAAAGTTAGGTATTGTAGTTGAAGAACTCAATGTCTTATAAATCTCACACTAAAATCCTGTACTTCTAATGTAAGACTCAAGTTACTTGCCTTGCAATTGAATCCTGTGAAAGGTGTTGTATATTCCTTGATCAAATAGGTTACATTGAAGGCTATATATATATATATACAAACTGAGTGACTGGACTCGGAGTGCTAACAAAGGAAATAAATACTAGAATCCTAGTTTTCTTACCTACAATATTTACACAATCCTATTTTAGGAATGATACAATTGTCCAATCCTGGCATATACATGACTGAATCAGCATAAGAATAACAATAAATAATTTTCTAATTTAGAGTCTGATCCTCTTTGATTTGATTGATTGAATTGGAACAAAAAATTTGATCTCCAACACTCTCCATCTAGCTGGGTGGTGAATGTCAATCATCCCCAACTTAAAACTCAAGTTCTCATAATTGAGTCATGGCATGCCTTTAGTTAGAATGTTTGTTGTTTGTTGGCTAGATGGAGTAAATTCAAATATGACACTTTCAAGCTTCTCCTTTATAAAGTGGTGATATGTTTTCACATGTTTGGTTCTATCATGTTGGATTGAATTTTTCACAATGTTTTATGACTATTGTCACATTGTATGTTCATAGCATATTCTGATCTACACCTCCAGCTCCTTAAGCATCTGTAAAAATCATATGCCTTCATAAATACCATTAGTCATGGCTCTAAACTTAGCTTCTGCACTACTTCTTGAAACCATTGATTGTTTCTTTCTTCTCCAAGTTACTAAATTTTCTTCCACATAGGAACAATATGTTGTAATTAACTTACAGTCTGTTGTAGAATTGGTGAGCATTTGTATAAAAATTTACTTTTCAACTTGTATTTTTCTTAAAGTATTGTTGAATCTGGTCAACAACTTTCATGTGGCTTTCTATAGAATTATTCATGAATTGACTCACCAAGCTAATTGCATAGCATATATTAGGTCATGTACGAGTCAAGTATATTAGTCTCCCTAATAATCTTTGATATTTGTCCTAGTTTGTTGGAGGACTTTCCTTCTTTAATCCCAAGTTTTGAACTTGGTTCTATAGATGTATCTACTGGTTTACATCCCAATGTCCATGTTTCTTTTAGCGGATATGTCACATGTTTTCTTTGAGATATAGCAACACCATTCTTGGTACGAGTCGCTTCCATCCTGAGAAAGTACCTAAGATGATTAAGGTCCTTAACCTCCAATTCACTTGCAAGGAGCCCTTATAGTTTTAGAATTTCTTCTTCATCATCCCTTGTGATGATGATGATGTCATCCCAAAACTTATTTGATACATTTATGGACATTATGAGGGATCTAGTTACCTCCAATAAATGCTTGTTTTTGCATTCTGTAATTTTGTTTTGCTGGTATATATTTGCACATGATGTTTGCTGGATGATCCCATGTTTGTGAAGATAAGATCCAAGACTTGTAGTATTTTTAGCCATTATCAATCTGCAGAATCTGAGGTTATAAACCATCTAGCTCCAGTAATAGTTTTGATTCTAGAGGTCCCCTAGACATCTTTGTGAACAAGTGCAAATGGTTTAGAAGACTTATAAGATTTTTTAGGATAATTGTTTCTTGCATGTTTGGCTCACTAAGATTTTTTAGCATGATTAAAAATGTAACCGAATGATCTAAATTTGACATATTATTGTAGAATTTGAGTTGAAGAAGTAAAAGAATCTCTTAAAAGGATGGAGAATAGTAAAACGGTTGGTCCTGATAATATCCCTATAGAAGTTTGGAAAAATAAGGACTTGAGTGACTCACTAAACTCTTTAATGAAATTGTTAAGATTCAAAATGTGGGCTTAGACTTTGAAAGTAAGCCTAAGATTTGGAGAGTGTATGAGAGGAGAAACAAGGAAATGAAGAGAAATGTTGAGGTGGCAAAGGGTGTGACATAATTAGCTAATGAGCAAGAGAAGTAGGGAAATATAGGGGACAAAGAGTGAGGAAAGAGGGACGTCTGGATATTTTGAAATTTTGTTATGGGGGTGGTTAACCTCTGGAGGAGCTTGCTCTGTGGCACTAGGAACTATTATCTTACTATATTTCTATTTCATTTTGAGGAATAATACATATATTATCTTATTTTCCTTGTTTATTCTTCTTCTTTATTTTGGGTAATTGGGTCTCTAACATTTGGTCTGGTCTGCCGGATTTGATGAGACAAAAAAAAGTATTTTGGTGATGTAATTAGCAAGTGCCACCAAAGAAAATGGAGGCTAAGGTTGCTGCACTTGAGATGAAGGTCGTTGGCCTTGAAAACGCAATGCAAGTTATGCAACTCAAGGTTGATTCCAAATAGTAACCCACACAGTGACCCATATGATGAATTTCGACAATTTGTCAAGAAGGTGGAGTTGACAATGTTTGACGGTGATGACCCAGGAGGATGTATTGTTTGTGTTGAAGTCTATTTTCAAGTATAGGGAACTCATCCCAATATCAAGGTGAGTCTAACACAGCTTTGTATGGAGGGCAGTTTGACATGGAGCATTTGAAGAACGAGCTCTTGGAGCGTTATGGTAGAAGTGGAGAGGGTGATGTCCTTGAGTGTTTGGTGGGAATTCAACAGAAGGGAAGTGTTGAGGAGTATATCAGAGAGTTTGAGCGCTTGACAGCACAAAGATTCCACATTTACCTGATGGCCAATACTTTGGGTGTTTTGTGCATGGATTGAGACATCAAAGGAAGTATTCATACATTGGGACCATTACAACGTTCATGTTTGATGAATTTGACTAGAGCTATAGAGTTGGAATTGCAAGAGAAGAAAGGCGGGTGGTTTGGGTTTCGATCAAATGGTAACAAAGGAAACAATGTGTTGTGTTGGGCCAATCTAGCATGGGCCCAAGTATTCGACAGAGCCCAACCCATTCAAGTAATGTTTATGGGCCAGATCATGGGTCCAGATCAAACTTTGGTCCAGGTAAGTTCCACTATGAAGGACAAAATGCGAGTAGGGTCAAATCGGAAGCTGGCAACAAGCTACGCTGTTTTGGGCCCAGAGATCGAGGGTTGCACCACCTATCCTACCTGGAGCTGGCTGATCAGAAGAGAAAGGGATCTTTGCTACTAATGCAGTAGTCCCTTTGATCCAATGTCTCAATTGTCAGTTACGAGTGATCTTACTAGAAGAAGAGGATGAAGTAGGAATTGAAGCACAAATAGTAGAGGTGGAGACCAAGTTGGATGTCGCTACAAATGGGGAGTGTAGCTTGACGTTCTTAGGCAGTGCATTAGTAGTATTGAAGCAAAAACCTCAAACTATGAAAGTCAAGGCCCAAATCAATGGAGTCCCAATTCTCCTTTTCGTAGACAGTGGAGCTACACATAACTTCATTTTGAAGAAGCTTGTGCAAGCTATGGGATGGGAGGATTGAAGATACTAAACCCATGAATATCAAGCTTGGTGATCGATACAAGGCAATAGCACAAGGGGTCTGTCTAGGAGTGGAGTAACATTGAAATTTATTGTTGAAACAGTCTTGTTTGACTTGGACAAAATTGATCTTATATTGGGAATTGCATAGTTGGCACTATTAGGTGAGATGGTGGTCGATTGGGGAAAGCAAATCTTTCAATTCCAAAGGCAAAATCAATGGGCCAAGGTACAAGGAGAGGGCTACAAGTAGTGGGGTCAAACCACACTCCAAATTTTGATAAGCAAAGGAAAGCATACAATAGAAGGCTTGTTATGGTCTACTGAATTGATATTAACAACTGATGTTGACACTGGCAGAAGTAATACTATGGAGAGTGGTATTCAAAAGGAAGAGTTGAATATCTTGTCAAATCAGTTTGAGGCTGTTTCCGAGGAACCTCAAGGTTTGTCTCCAAGGCGTAGCAGAGAACATGCCATTAATTTGGTTAAGGGTCAAGGTTTGATAAATGTAAGGTTCAATATCTATCTATGGGGACCAAAAACATAATTAAGCCAAAAATTAATGAAGATGTTTTTTAAAATACAAGATAAGTGTTTAAAGTGAAAAAAGACATAACAAACTATTTGTTACTGTAAAGTACCCATTAAACTAAAAGGAATGTTTTATCGTACTGCAATACAATCAACTATTCAATATAGTAATGAATGCCTTAAAGGAACAACACAAGAAAAAGGTGAGAGTGGCAGAAATGAGAATGCTAAGATAAATCAATATACACACGAAAAAGAACATGATACAAAATGATAATATACGAGAGACTATTAGAGTAGTACCTTATAATGAAAAAAATAATTGAAAACTATCTAAAGTTGTTCAATCATATGTAGAGTAGACCTTTGAAGGCACTTGAAAGAAAAAGCACGAAAACTGTCTGGTATTAAGGAAATCAGAAAGAGACAAATGCAATAACAAGAATGGTAAAAATGGAGCACTAAGTAGCTCCTACGCTCCAAGTCCTAATTCAGAAAAATCCCCCTACTCTTTTCCACTAGCCCACTTCTACAATGAAGGTCGTCGCGTCATCGACCTCCGCTTGAAGCTGCCTCGCCAATGGTTTAGACAAAAAATTGTTTGTTGCCCCTGTATCCACCAAAATAATCACTTCGTTGCCCCTTATTGTCCCCCTCACCTTGAAAGATTTATTTACAGTGATGAATCCATGAAAGCTATTAAGCCTGATTTGAAAGGACTTCATCGCTAACTTTGTGGAATGACCTCATCCCCCTGAACTTCCTCGTCATCTTCTTCTTCAGAGTCTTCCACTAGAACGAGTTTAAAGTGCCTCAACTTGCATGCATGACCCGGTCCCCATCTTTCTCCACATTTGAAGCAAAGACCCCGACAGCTCCTCTCTTGAAGTTCTTCCTGGGAAAGGCGTTTCCCAATGATGTTCTTCTCTCCACTCATCCCTTTTGGAAGTCTCTTTGCTACTCATTCCACATACGAGATAGACTAGCTCTACTAATATTTGGGCCCTTAACTTGGCCCAAAACCTTGCTCAATGGACTCTCTCCTCCTTTCCATTCCCTATTCCTCTCTTCTAACATGAGAGCCCTATCTTTAACTTAAGCTAGGGAGCCCAGCTCTAAGCTCTTGACTTTCGCTCTCAGTCCCCCTTTTAGCCCATTAATGAAGATGCCTTTCATGATCTTTCGGTCCACATGCTTCATGGGTCTAGAGACTTTTTCAAATTCTTCAATATAGTCCATGAAAAAGTCCAATTGCTTTAATCTCAACAAGGGCCCATAGGGGTCCTTCACTACCCCTGGTTGGAACTTCCGTAGCACACCATCTCTGAACTGTCTCCATGACGGACATGAAGTTTGTTCCTCCCATGCTTGGAACCAATTTAGCGACTTGTCTTCCAATGCTAAGATCACAACCTCCATTCTCTCATCTCCCTCAATGTTATTAATAGCAAAATACCTTTCGATTTTCACCAGCTAGCCCAATGCATCTTTGCCAGAAAATAAAGGGAGTTTCATCTTCCTGTCCATATCATGTTGCCGGCAGTGGAGGCTGTCACTACGCGAGTTCGATCGTTGACTACCCCAAGAAGGGCCACCCCAATGGTGCGAGTGACCACTGTGGGAGTGGTGTGACCCCTCATCTCGTCTAAAACCCCCCTTCCATCGGTCTCTCAGCTCCACTTGGTGGTTCCTCTGTGACTATGGCGATCGACCTTGTGAACAAGCTCAGCATGATTCTTTCAACAGATGCAACATCTCATCAAACTTCCTCTCCAGCTCTTCCACTCGTTTCTCCATTGGCAGCTTGAGCGAAATTGGACCCCCACAGCTCCCAGAAAAAAGAACTCTGATGCCAAAATGATAGAAACAACCCAAGAAACAGCAAGAAAACTGTCTGGTATTAAGGAAATCAGTAAGAGACAAATGCAGTAACAAGAATGGTAAAAATGGAGCACTAAGCAGCTTCTACGCTCCAAGTCCTAATTCAGAAAAATTCCCCTACTCTTTTCCACTAGCCAACAATTATACCCTTTTCTCATAACAAAATGTTTACTAATCATTCTCTCGTCCCACCCCTCAGCATGAAATGCACACGTCTTCACAATTAGTTAGGATTGGTCCCACCTGGTCACATCCCTCTCTCAACTTATTGTTTTCCAAGTTACTCCTAAATTTCCTTCTTTTATACACTTTTATCCTATTCGGAATTCGATCCCTAATGGCGCCAATAAAAAAAGTGAATTGCATAACTTAGTTCGGTAAATAGGGGTCGAAGGAAACTCAAAAGAACCTTAGACGAAATTATTAAAAAAAGACATTTTGATTAACACAAATTTCTAAAAATTTAGTTTTTGACCAAACTTAATAACATCGTGTGATCCTTGTAGCTAACCTTACCTATTGAAATAAGGCTTGGTTGTTGATGTTATTGTTTGTTTCTTGCATGTTTGGCTAATTGATAAACTTCTCATTGAAATATTTGTAAATTTTTATTGAAAATTGAATGGAACAATTGTCTAAGGTACATATAATTTGGGTGACCTAGGTGGTAACGTGATAACATCACATTATTTTTGTCTTGTCCAGTACTAGCAGCTAAACTCCTTCGTTTTGGTTGTTCCTTGTTATCAACTTGAAGGAAGTAGAGTCCTATAAATTCTTCAGCATTGTTTATCCTCTTCCCTGAATCCATTGTTTGAAATTCATGGGCATTTGGAAGAAATTTAGTAACACAATTAAGGTCTCACATGAGTTTACAGAGAGACAAGAGGTTGTAGTTTAATTGGGTGGGGGGGGGGTTGAGAGAGAGAACAGAATTTAGTGAAATGTCCTTTAATACCACAACTGATTCTTTACTAGCAACCTTGGATGTTGATGCATCAGCAATTCTTACTAAGGAGTCTTCTATTAAAATTGTCATATGCTTATTGGATAGATCATGCTTTTGTCCTCCATGTAAAGCATGGGACACTATTTTTGTCATACTTTATGCATTGACATCCTAGTTTCAAATACTATTACACTTTTCAAAGTCTAAATATTTTTAATCTAGAATAGTAGTTGAAGAAATTCTCTTCTTGCAGTATGGGGTGGAGATCCAGTTTACCCAACTGTGAACTATATTCAAGATCCAAATGAAGTTATTGACTACAGGGGGCCAGATTTTCATGAACCAACGCCAAATATGGTGGCTTATCTGAAAGAGGTTAATTGCTCTAAGCACTTCTTTGTTTTCTTTTTATTCCCATCTGTTGTTAAAATGGGAGTAAATTGTAATAGTTAACCTCTATTGAACATAAAAACATTTCTCCAGGATGGAGTGCTCAAAAAATTTTTGGGATATATTTTCTTCCTTACTCCAAAATATAAGCTTCATATGGTCATTAATGGCCATTAGATTTGTTTATGTTCTAATGCTTTCAATTTAACTGCTACTTGTTGCCTCAGTAAGGATAATCCCCAAAGCACTTACTTGATTTTACAAGTATAGTACTGTAGTTATAGTGGCTAATTTATCCTCAAATATATGATTTTTTCCCCTTCAGACTTGTATAATGGCAAGACTTTTTAGTAACAACTGTGATTATTTGTTTATGGCACAATTGCTGAACTTCTTTTCATTATATGATCAGCATGGAAAAATGGTTTCAAGGGAGGAATTTGACAAGGTTATGGCTAAGGAAAAGACTGAACAAGTTGAGGTAAGGAAGTAATAATTTGAACTTTATAATATTGATAGAATGGATTATTTTGCAAACAGATGAATTGCATATTGGCAATTGCTTTCTTGATGAGATTTATTGTCGAGTTATACTTTTATATGATTTGTCTTCACTTGGGTGCTGGGAAGTGAAATACAGGCATCACATTGTTTAGGCCTCCTGTATTAATTTGCCAGATCCTAACCTTTTGGATGGGGTCTATTGTTATATTAGATATGAGCTTATCAATTGGAACTTGGAAGGCTTAATTGCTTGAAGGTTTTATAGTTAAATGTGTTTTGTTCTAGTGATTTGTTCTTCTAAGTCTTGAAACCAGACAGTCTTAATGGATGAGTTGAAGGAATGATGTGTTCCTTTACATTACTAGCTTCTGTGCCAGCTTCCTTGGAAGCTGATGAAAAGCAATTGGGATAGGTCACATAAATCTCTGTTTTTTAAAAAAAAATCCTAGCTTGTAAAATGGATCTGAAAATCCCAGTCTTTTTCCCTTGACAGTTAGTGCACTAGGGAGATAACTATTTGGAAATAAAAATAAAAGAATAGTGAAAGCTGGGCCTCTATCGTCAACTAATTTTGTTAAGGGGGAAGAGGTTAAAGGTTGGCAGAGACCCAAAAAATTGGAATTATAGTTTATCTTTTAAACCGAGTTTAGTTCAGTTTTCGTAGTAAGTTGTCAAATAAGCAAAGCTTCAGACAATATTTCACTTCTATCAATAATAACACGGTTGGAAGTACCAATGAGGCGAGGAGTGTCATTTACTTATCTTTTCCCCAATCCATTAGACCAATTTTGCTTAATGGGATGGAAATTGTCATTTTATTTAGAATCTTAAAGTCTAGCCACTGGTAAAGAATGATCTCTGTTGATACAGTGCAACAATAAAAAGCGGGGAAAAATTCATGAAATATAGTTTGTATGTGAGATGACTTTTATTTGATTTTCTGGCCCAATTACTTACATCAGGTTGCACACCAATTGGAAGTCTAAAATGAAATAAAAAATGTTAGAGAAAATTAGAGATCCAAGTACAAATCTGTATTTATTCTTTGATTATATTTGATAAAGTTGAGCCATAAAAGGAGGGAGAACCATTTCAAAATAAATATATAATAAGAGTAAAGTTTCTCTTTATCATGCCAACTTGCCATTCAATCCTTATACATTGTTTACGGCAGGACAGATGTGTAACCTTTTTTATTTTGGAATTTCTCAAAATTTGTAGCATGGTTTTATAATTCATAGACAACAGAATTCTTGTGGTGTTTGCTCTTGCCTGTGTTTGCCCTTTTACTTGGAACTTGTACTATTCTCAAGTGCCAAGTTACAAAGCTTCACATAATGAACGTCATAGAACTATTTCTTTCATGTTTTGCATCCTCCTCCTTCATTCAAATACTACCTATGGCCTATCATTCTAATATAGTTTGATACCCTTTATTTGCAATATGGCAGATGACAGACGTGGATGAAGCTATGGCCAAAGCTGTTGACATCGGAGAAAACGATGTAAGCTTCAATTCACCATCTTTCTAGGTTTTCATTTACTATTGCGACTGTAAACAATACTTGTGGTTGTCTTGTGAGTTCCATTCATAAATGATTGGTTGTAAGTAACATTTCCCCTCTTTTTCTCACTTTATTAACCAGGATGAAGAGGATAGTGATCTTGAAGATGGAGAGGAAGAGGGAGAGGAAGAGAAGATTTCTGATTATTGGAGTGTGTTGAAAAGTACCCCCGAGCTTCGCAAGTCAAAGGTATTCCTTTAAATCAAATATATTCTGCTGGTGTAATCTGTTTTCTCTCTTTAGTAGTGTTCAATATCTTCAATCATGCTTGCTTGACCACAGTTGTCTTTAAAATAGTATCCTTAGGTGGATAAAAGGCTTTCTCATATTTCCCTATTGGGACTATCAAATCAGAAGTCTTTGAAATATTGTTATATTTCACATGTTTCTCATTTCATCAGCAATGATGTGTAATCAACAAAACATTCCTCCCCCTCCTTGAACTTGCAGCCAAAACCAAAGAAAGATGGTCCTATGTCGCTGGACGAGGCTGTAGATGATTCGGAGAACTTGACTGATTTCCTCATGGACTTTGAAGAAGAAGAATGACATGCCTCTTCGTGAAACATGGATTACTGCAGCAGTGGTAGACATGCATGTTATGTTGTAGACAGAATAAAAGGTTTGCATGTTAGTCTTCCTTATCAATTTCTTGCGCTATCAATAACTTTAAGGATGGGGAGGCGAAGGTGATGATTATTGGAATGAGATTTTGAATGCTTAATTCAAGAATTCTAGAAACATTGAGCTAGAGTTAAGTTCCGAGTTGAGCTATTATCTTGAATACTCAACTAAGTACTCGTTTCCAAGTTCCAACACCTGTGTACGTAAACAATTTTGATATCGTAGTATTCGTATGGAACTTAGCAGATAATTTTAACTAGGAGATCGACCATTCTAACATATTAAATATGTTGGTGCAAACTAGAACTCAATACGTATCACATATCATCTTTCTCATGTAGTTCAAGTAATGCTGTCCTCATTTATTGTGATTCACTATCCCCTTCAGATTTTGGTCCAAGGCATGTTTAAGACTTCAGATACTTGCTAATGAATAGTTGTATTATGATTCAGAATTTCAATATGCATGTATTCATTTTATTATGCTTAACTACTTTAAACTGAATAATGTTTATGCTTTGGATAATGTTAACTGAGTGTTGTTTGAATTTCGAAGTTAACCAGGGGGAATAGTAGTGTATAATGATCCTCAATTTAAGAAAAATAAAGGTAATTGTTATGGCGTCTTTGCATGTAGTTGGGTATCAATACCTTTGCAACATTGATTAATTAATATCCGCCACGAGTGTTTAACTGTTTACTAATCTATGTCATCAATTTTTAAAAAAATTTAAATATATCTATATAAAATATTTTTTTCACATAATGATCCTTATAAGTAAATTTTATAACATGGGCAACGAACATTACTGGGAGGGTAGAACATTGTATAGTTTGATGGTTGGTATGTCTTCTTGTTGGATGTGTGTTGGGCCATTATTCAAATGTCCTATTGGGCCTGTGCCCCAAGGACCATGTAAAAAGATTTGGACCAAAATATAGACCGAAAAAAGATACATCAAATTGGGCTTAACTATGTAGTGCTTATTTCAAATATTCTTTTAGGCATATGCTATATATATATATTATGCTTTTGGGGGAATATATTTTGCTGGAGCCAAATCGAAATTATCCAATGATGTCTTTACTTTGCCCATGCAAATATGTGTATAAAAAAATTGAAGCATCAGCATCCCACTAGTTCATCTCCTGAAAAAATGAAAGAGAACCAAATAAAATTTCCCAAATTGAAGAAAGGAAAATCGATTACTCTAATTCAGTCCAAGGGATGGTTAGGTATTGGATGCAGATCCTCAAATTTGAAGTCCCATATGGAATTCACCTTTAATGAAAGACCGTTCTCTGGATTTTTCTACTTCTCTACCTATTTGTTTTTCTTTTAATGTTGTATAATATTGTTTAGTCGCTTAGTTAAGTTTGTCGGTAAATTATTTAGTTTAAAATTTTTATTTAAGATAGACAATTTAAATATAACATTATCATTCATTATTTAATCACGGAAATTATTAATTAAAAAACTGATAATTATCTATATATAAAGAAGACTTAATGACTGACTACCTTCTATTGTTTCATTTTTCAAAGATGCACAAATATAAAAATGGTAGTTGCGGGTTCTAATGGAACTTGTGCCATTAACCATTTGACTTATTTTATAAATGATTTTTTTAACATGTACTCCAAAAGAACAAGTTAAAATATAACATTTAATGTCATCAATTATATTCTATGATATTTTATAATTCTTAACATAAATTTTTTATACATAGTTTCTTACTGGGTAACTTTAAACGCTATAGAAGAATATTTTATAAACCATATATTATGTATATGCGTGCGCGCGCGTATTTCGCTTTTGGCAAACAGAGGCAACTTAACTGTTTTGACTCTATTGTGATAATTTCATGATTGACCGAACCACGTGCTTCTATTGCGTTATACGAGGCACTGTTGATCAACGTTGAACCCTGTCATCAATCCATAATATAATAAGCTAAAATAAAACATTCAGTGAAAATTTTTACACGCTCAAAAGGTTATTCCAGCGTAATGAGATTGCAACTATTGAAAGAGAGCCTTTTGAAGCATAGCTTCACTTCAACTCTTTCTTATAGGATCAGATTTATCTCTTTACTTATTATGAAGAATAAGCTAAGCTTTTTTCTTTTTGGATCTTAGTGACTTGCAGAGCATATAATTTGAGTAAAATCTTGTCTAGTTAAAACCATATCTAATTAAAAGCTCAGAAATGGTCTTCTCTACCTCTAGATCGCAATAATTTATTCTCTCTGGCCTACACTATCCACCTGATTCTTCTACTAGATCTTAAAAGTGCTCAATAAATTAAAATATCATTCCTTCTAGTGATATTAAATACCGGCAATTAGTATTATATTAAAAAATATTAGCAATATTTTAATACACCTTTATAGCCATAATTCTTTACAGAATTAATTGCATCATTGATGTCTAACATTTTCTAAACCAAGAAATGTGTCCATCCCACTTGCCTTGCTTGGAATGTGGTCCCATTAATAATTGATGGATTCATACTTGGGCTTCATATTCAAATGTATCTTTGACACAATTTTAAAACATAAAGCTTTCAAATGTATCTTAAATGATACTCCAGTAGTTTAAAATTCGGCTCCTTGTAGAATACCAATATCCTCGAAGCTATATTCAAAGTGAAAAATAAATGTTTGACCACCCTATCTCAAATGGTGTACAATTTTTTTCTAGATAACAATTATTTTATTGCAATCCGTGGCCAAAACACCCCCTAGTATAGAAGTACTTCAAAAATTTCCCCACTGCTACATTTTTCACTATTCATGTGGAAACTCCTGTGGTGCAAACTCAAGTAAAGATGGTTGATTGAACGCAATTGGGGCACATGTAGATGTGTGCGTATATATATATATATATATATATATATATATATATATATATATATATATATTTAAGAGAGACAAAAAGGAGAGAAATATATTAGAAGTGAACAGAGTGGAAATATTAATCTAATGATAGGGAATTGGAGATTTGACTTGAAAGACAGAATGTTTATTGTAGGGGTTGTAGGTCCAATTTCACTAACCCAGATGATATAGAAATGATTAGCAAGTCTGGTTATAAGCAAACATGTATTATAATTAAAACAAAACTGTTAATGGGTTTATTATGTTGGAGACCCTATGTCACCCAAAACATGGCCAAGAAAAAATCCAAAGGGGTGCTGGCTTGCTTTCTTGCTTTGCTCCCTGGCTGCCAGTTACCTTTGAAAAATGGCAAACAAAGAGGGTGAAAACAGAAACATTTGGTCAACATGTTTCATCCTATGTTCGTCTCTCTCTAGCAATGTTTATGCTCTTCTTTGGGTGGTTTATGTTTCTTTGAAAAGGGACACTTATAGCTAAACCCCCTCCTTTTGATTACTAATAATTATGCTTAGTGACACTCTCAGCCGTTCTTTGTCATTAATTAGTCGTATTCATGCTACAGACCAAAATGATTAAGACATGGGCTCCACTTTATTATTCTGTTCCGTTTGCCTCCCCTCTTTAGTGCTGTATTCTTCTTAAGCTTGTACCTTCTACTTTCATGCTGTATTAACAACTTTACTACTTTTTAATTATAATTCTTCTAACATTTATGTTCCTATCCAACTTTATTATTATCAAATTAATTATGCCCTCGTGTTAACTCTATCTTACTTCAAGTTTTAAATATCTATATATTATCGTGTTGCCAATCACCTCCATTAATCACTCACTTGAAAACCCAACAATTTGTCCACCTTTCTTATTGTATCTTTTAGATGGTTGCGTACGTTGCCCATAAATATTTGTTCAAATTGAGTAAGATATATTTTAACTTTTTTATAGTAACATTTTTTTGTCAGAGAAAATTTTGAGACTCTATTTAAAGACAATATAGTTTCTTGTACTTTAAATTAATCGGCATAGGAGGGTGGGGGGGGTGTTAACAGACTTGTTTAATCATTAGAAATCTAAACGTATAAAAAATTAATTTCAAAAATGTTAAGAAGATTTTTATTTTTTTTTATCACATCTTATAATACATTCTTTATTGTTAACTTTTTTAAAATCGACAAAATCAAGTGTAATACGCATTAAATATATAATATATTTAACTAATAGTATAGAATGTTTTTTTTTTTTTAAAAGTAAGTTGAATGTATTAATAATGTTTTTCATTTGATTTTGTTTTTCATAAAAACTCTGCTATTATTTGTATTACTCGATTATTAGAGAGTATAGAGATATTTTATTATTATAGCCATTATAAGCGGTAATTTTATTTTTATAGTGTTCTAAAATATTATTAAACTATGATAAATATATATATATATATATATATATATATATAATTCCCTATTTTAGTGATATCTCAGTGTGTCACATTCCAAAATGCATAGTAAATTAAGTATAGTACCTATTATAAAATGATTAGCACTTAATTATAATTACAAATAGTACAAGTGCATTTATAATCTATTTCAAAATTTTATTTGAGTGAATTCATTTATTTAATTTTGAAAATATTTTCACTCACACATTAATCCCTGAATCCATATCAAATTTAGAGAGTAGATTACAAATGAATAATATTTTAAGAGACTTCGTTTATTTTATGCACAAGATGTGAAAATTAAATTATTTCGTAGCCATTTTCCCCAAATTTTTCCATCTAATCACATCAGCTTCAAGTTCTGCCATAATAAACAAGATGAATTCTTGATTGTTACAAGTAATTTAACATTTATAAAGGAAATATCATACATTTCTTTTTTCTATGATTATTCACTTAATTCATTAGTTTGGCAATTTTATATTCCAGCTCATTGTCCCACACCAGCCAGGAACATATAAATTCCACCCTGTTTGTAGGGTGGCGTCGGTGCAAACTTGGGGTTAATCCTTCTGGTTCCCCTCTGTACTTTTTATTTAAGTGAACATCATGTTAATTAGTTACTAATAAATTTAATTAGGTTAAATCAATTAGTTATAAGATTCTTTAGAAAAATTTAAATGCATTTTTATATTTTAAAAAATTATGATTGTGCGTCTCCAAACTCTTTCTGATTAAATTATTAATTAAGATTCTATTGGGATTCATACAATGCAGCGTCTAAACTAAATATTCTTATACAATTCAAGGACTGGATTATTATTTTTAACTATACAATAGGTTTTTAAATGATTTAAAATTATTTAACGAAATCCTAACCAGAAATTTAATTAAAATTTGTTTATAAGTTCATTGACTTAATTACAATTTTTCAATATATAAAAATTTAAGAGATTTTTTAAAAATATCTCAAGAACCGACAAATTATTTTAACTTTTAGATTACAGTGACTAATATTACTAATTTAACACTTGCTTAAATATAATAGTTAATATTTTAATTTACATGATAGGATTCATTAATTTAAAGATTATGAGTTACTATTGTATAAAATAATATAAAACATGTACACATACAAAGTGAAACGGGCATTTTACAATTTTTCTTATGTGGGCAGAATGGAATTTTTAAAATTTTAGAGATAAAAATATTTAATTTA